AAAGCATTTGACAAAATTCAACACCTATTCATAATAAAAATTCTTGGAAAAATATATGAATAAAAGATAACTTCCTCAACTTGATAAAGAGCACCTACCAAAAAACAAAACAAATAAAACATTACAACTAATATTACATTTAATGGTGAAAGACTGAATGTTTTCCCCCTAAGAGGGAATAAGACAAGGATATCCACTCTTACCACTCTTCCTCAACCTAGTACTGCAATTCCTAGATGGTGCAATAAGACAATGAAAGGTAATACATACACAAAACATTATTCCACCTCCTACTTTGGCGAGTAGTGACTGGGACCTTAAAAGCTTGCAAGCAGCCATCTAGATGCAACAATGGGTTTCTCCTCATCCAGAGCAAAGAAGAATGAAAAAAACCAAAGATTCTTGGAAACAATTAGTCCTAGTGGCTAAGGCACATGACTGCTAACCAGAAGGCTGGAGGTTCAAACCCACCAGCCACTCCCCAGAAGAAAGATGGGGCAATCTACTTCCGTAGTGATACAGCCCTGGAAACCCAAGGAGGGGTTGCTATGGGTCGAGTCTGACTCAACGGCACATAACAACAACAACAAGTGACTGGTGTACCATGCAATCTGCAGCCTATATGACTATGAGACCAGAAGAACTAGATGGTGCCTGGCTACCATTGTCAACCACTCAGAGGGGGATCTGTCTAGGAGATCCTGGATAGAGAGGGAGAACAATGTGGAACAAAACTCAAAATCATTTGGAAAAAAAAAAGGGGGGTGGGGAGACCAGGTTTGCTGGTCTGATAGAGCCTGGTGGAACCACTGAGACTATGGACCCTAGCTGCCCTTCAGGTCTGGAATTGAACCCACACCTGTGGCTTCCAGCCAAACAAAAGACAGGCATATGAGTTGAACATGTACCTGAGGTAGATACACTCCTTGGAGAGAACAATCATGGGAGAAAGAAGGGCTGCTTATGCACAGGGAGACAGCTTAGGGGATAGGAGGGCATGGAGGGATGGACACAGGGAAGAGGTAACTATCAGGAGGAAGTGGGAGGGGAGCTGTTGCATTGGGGTAAATTGTAGTCAATGTCTTGAGACAAAGTATATGTCATGAGACAAAGTGTGAACTGCTGTATGGAAAGTGAATTTGCTCTGTAAATTTTCACCCAAATCACAATTAAAAAAAGAGAAAAAAAGGAAGAAAGAAAAGGTAATACAGGGAATACAGATTGGAAATTAATAAATAAAACTATTCTTATTTGTACATGACATGATTGTCTATGTAGCAAATACCAAGGAATTAAAAAAAAAAAAAAAACCTCCTAAAAGTGATGAGTGAGTTCAGCAAGGTTGTAGAATATAAGATAAACATGCAAAAATCAATAGTATTTCTCCTGGGGTGGGAGGGGAGGAAACACTGCAAAAACAAAAAAAGCACCCACTGCCACGAGTTGACTCTGACTCATAGCAGTCCCCATTGAGTTTCCAAGGCTATAAATCTTTGTGGAAGTAGATTGCCTCATCTTTCTCCTGCAGAACAGCTGATGGATTTGAACTGACTTTGTGGTTAGCACCCAAATGCCTTACCTGCTAGCTACCAGAGCGCCTTCAGAGACTGCACAGGACCAGGTTCTACCTTGAGGGCCTCCTGGAGACAGGCTTTACTGTGGTGGCTCTAGAACTTGAATATGCATCAGAATGCCTCAGAAAAACCTACTGCTGGGCCCCACCCCCAGAGTTTCTGATTCAGTCCCTAAGGGCAGGAGCCCTGGTGGCTCAGTGATTAAAAAGTCCTCTGCTAACTGAAAGATCAGTAGTTCAAATCGACCAGCCACTCTGCAGGAGAACAGATCTAGTGATTTGCTCTTAGAAAGACTGCAGACTAGGAAACCCAATGAGGCAGTCCTACTCTGGAAAAAAAAAAAAAATTCTAAATAATAGCAACAAAACTGTGGAGACAGAAATGAAAAATACAATACCATTTACAATCACTAAAAAAAAAAAAAAGAAAAAAGAAAAGACAGGGATTTTGTATTCCCTTATCCTTTTCTTTCTTTTTCAAACATATTTTACATGTACAGTTCAAGATATTAATTACATCCATCATGTTATTTGGGCCATTTTGAATCAGATGATCATATGATCTATTATGCTGGGAATGACAAATTGAAGAATGGCGTGGCATTCATCATCACAAAGAATGTATCAAGATTTATCCTGAAGTACAATGCTGTCAGTGATGGTATAATATCCATATGCCTATGAGGAAGACCAGTTAATATTACTATTATTCAATTTTACGCACCAACCACTAAAGCCAAAGATGAGGAAATTGAAGATTTTTACCAACTTCTGCAGTCTGAAATTGACCCAGCATTCAGGTGCGTTAATTATCACTGGGAATTGGAATGCAAAAGTTAGAAACAAAGAAGAATCATCGGTAGTTGGAAAATATGGCCATAACAAAACCTTTACAAGATTTGTATGCTGAAAACTATAATGCTAATGAAAGAAATCAAAGGAGTTCTAAGTAAATGGGGAGGTATACCATATTCATAAATTAGAAGATTGAAAGGTGTTAAATCGCCCCAAATTCACATAAAGGTTTAACAAAATTCCTATGAAAATTCCAGCAAGATATTTTGTAGACATGAACAAGTTGTCTGACTTTGTACCTTATTAACAACACTATAATGATTAATATGGTACCTGAATTTTTGTTGGCATTTTTAATCATCGTTTTAAGGATAATGTTCTAGAAATGAAATTAAGGATATGAACTTTTAAAAAACAGTTGATATGTATTCCAAAATGGACAGAAAGTCTCTGTGTATATGCACTAAGTCTAGTTAATGTCACTGTGTGCCTCTCTCACTAGCACCCTTGCCAGCATTGAGTATTATTATTTAAAACATTTTTTCTTGGTAATTTGATAGTTGAAGAAATATATCATTGTTGTTTTAATTTGCAATTCTTTGATCTACTGTGAGAACGACACAATGTGCTATTTTCTAAAAATTCTTGTATCTTTTGTGCAAATGCTTTTGTTCTGTTTCTATGGTTTAATCTTCCTCCAGAACAATTCCTTTTCCTAACTTCCTGATCTCTGACAATGGCGGCATCATTCTCCTTGTTCCCCCAATTTCTGAACCACAGAGTCAAATTTGTTTCTCTTCTTCAATTCCTGGTTTCCCACCAGCCACCAGCTATAGCCGTTCCTCCCTTTGAAACTGTTTTTCTGTTTTATCCTCTTCTTTGTTCTGATAGGAATGCCACCGTCCTAGCCAAGGGGTGCATTTCATGGATTACAGTGAAACCTTCCTGATGGTTCTCTCTGCAGCCACCCTGTTCTATTTAATTTCTCTTCCACATGCGCAGCACTGCCTTCCAAAGCATTGTTTTACACACACCATCCCCTAACCTGTTAGACCAAGCCTAGAAGGCTCTGCTGGACATTTATGCTCTGAGAATCCCGCAGCTTCCCATCCAGGAACTTCTAGTCCCAGGTAATTTCCTTACAGCCTGCCTGTACTGCTTTTCTGAAGCATTTCTCCTTCCTTCCTGGAATGTGCTTACTGCTCCCCTTTCCTCTAGTCCAGTGCCTATACTTCTCTTAAGGTTTGGTTTAATACTAATATCCCCCATGATGTTATCCCAGACTCACCAGTAGTCTTAAACTGTTCACACATCTTGTAATCAGTTGTATGAAGTGTGTGTCAGCCTGGACAAATGAGCCATGGGGGCCACATAAGAGAAAAAGGGAAGCAAAAAAGAAATATTTTTGGGAGACGTGATACATTTCATTTTTGATAAGTTGGGTTTGGAGTGATGGCAAGATATCCACATAAAGCTATCCCCTGGGCAATTGGAAATGTAGGCCCAGAATTGAGGAGAGATGTTGGGCTGGAATAAACATTTGGGAGTCATCTATAGAGCTGATAGAGGAATGCCAGTGGAGTTTAAAATGTGTTTAGGAGTGGAGAAGAGAACCAATGAAAGGGTCTGGGGTGACACCTAAATCTAAATGTCAGAACAAGAGTCCAAGACGAAGAAAAAGAAAATATGGCACTTAGAAATGGAGGTGAGAATCAAAAGAGGTGAAAAGGGGCAGAACCGTAATAGTCTACTCTTTCAAGAAGTTTGGCAAGTTGTGAAAGGAATGTAGTTGAATTTCGGAAAAATGTGGGAAACTAAACCAGTGTGTAAAATAGGGGAAAGAGCAAATAGGGTAGGAGTGACTGAGGGACAAATAAAAGGGAAGATTGGATGAGTGACAGGAGAAAAAAAGAGGTGAGGTGTTGCCCAGGGCTACAAGGTTATCTGGAAAGGTCTTCAGAAGAGGATGAGCCTGAAAGGTGGGGAAGAGGATTAGGGCATCTGGAAGAACAGAGAATACATGGTCAACATGGTATCCAGTCTCCTGCACCAAGGCAAAAATAGGGAGAGGGCAACAACTGCTCAGGGAGGCGGAAGGGGTTAGTGATGGGGGCTTTAGTCTCAAACACCCTCACCCTGTCCCTCTAAATATATATTCTAAGTAACAAACAATGTGTATGCTTTGTAAATCCAGCTTCAAGACAAGTCCTCTAGCTTGCCTTCCAAACCAATTCTCTAAATTCTCTAGAATTTAGAGAAAGGGCTGTCTTCTACAGAAATTTTGTTTTCACGAAATGATTGGCCAAAGAGAACTTCCTCTTGGAAGTCCTCAGTTTCCTTATTTGTAAAATAATAAAGACAGTACCTTCTTTTGAAATTGCTGTGAAGGTTAATTGTATGTCAAACGTTTGGCACATAGGAGCCTATACTCCCAAACAAAGGTATCACTTTATTTTAGGTTAGTGAAATATTGTCCTATCAGGTAAATGAGTGTAATGGGACCGCCTCACTAGTCTGGGGTTCTCTGATTAGCACATGGGGCACATTCTGCAGGAAATTAGTTACTCAGATCAGAAGAGTGGTAGCTTTGTCTTCACAGGGCTGCCATGTCTCTGGAACTCCCAACCTCAGCCATATGGTTTCTATTTCCAGGTCCCTCTGGGCTGAAAAGTCGCCTTGAATGCAAAAGAAATCTTTGGGACCAAGGATACTTTCCTTTGATCATCAAGAATCTTGAAATGAAAGACTCAGGGGATTATGTCTGCGAAGTGGAGAACAAGAAGGAAGTGGTTCAATTGCTGGTGTTTAGATGTGAGTGGGAGGGCCTGGGATGAGGATACTCCCGCTCCATCTCCTTTCCTCCTCTACTGCCATCTCCACACCAAAATCAAGGCCTGAATTGGTGGTACTTAACAGTCCAGAAGTGGATCAGGTTAGCCACCAAGTCTCCTTAAACCCTCTTAAGGCCTTGGGTCAGGCAGGGGAGGGAGGGAGAGGCTTAAAGAGGAGGAAAGAGAAGGGTAGGAACCAATGGAAGGAAGGAGAGAGAGAATGGGGAACAGAAGAAGGGGCCAGGAGGAGGAGGAGAGGACTGGATTGGGGTGGGCAGCTGGCTGTTGAGAAGAAAGGAGATATTGGGACAGTGGTGGAGACACTCTTGGTTTCTTACCCTCTTAGGGATGGTGTGTGTATGTGTGTGTGACACATGTGTCCTGCTTCCTCCACAGTGACTGCCAGGCCTGGAGTCCACGTACTGAAGGGCCAGAGTCTGACCCTGACCTTGGAGAGTCCCTCTGATAGTAGCCCCTCAGTGCAATGGAAGGGTCCGTGGGATAAAAGCAAGAATGAGGGCAAAAGCCTCTCAGTGTCCCAGGTAGGGCTGCAGCATAGTGGCACCTGGACATGCACCGCCTCCCAGAACCAGAAGACTCTGGAGCTCCAAATAAACATCTTGGTACTGGGTAAGAGAAGCTCCTCTCCCCTGCCTCACAAGCCCTCCCTGTGCTCTCTCTGCTCTGCTCCTAGGCCTGATGCTGGGGGGTGGAGGTGGGGTGGGTCCAGGCCCCCCTAGAGTTGAGGTCTGTGCTGAGGGACATGCTAGGCCCTCTCTTCCTCAAGGTGCTAAATAGCAGCCACCCCTCAGAGTGGTAGCATGGAGGAAGAAAGGGATGGAGGATATAAAGATGAGGAGTCCCAGAAGCCCCTGGAGGAAGCCTCAGGCCACGGGTATCTAGTTTCTTCATTTTCTCAGATCCCTACCCCTTCCAATTTGGCACATCCACTTACTCAGGGATGTTAACACCAGAAAGTAAGCCCCGATGAAATTCTACACGGCACTTGTAGAGCTATGAGCTAGGCACTGAGGGAAAGACCAAAAGCCAAAGAAGTAAGAAAAATAAAGCACCCAGCTTGTGTCTTCCACTTAGGTGGCGTGACATGAGGTAGTAGAGTGTGGTGGTTTTGTGCTTGGACTCTGATTTAAACTCTGGTTCTTATACTGACAAGCATGTGACTTGGGCAAGCTCTTGAACCTCTCTGTGCCTTGGTTTCTACATCTATCTATAAAATGGGGATGATACTGTGATAGTACCCATCTTGTAGTGTTATGGCAAGAAACAAATGAGCTCATACATGTAACACACGTAGAACAGTGCCTGGCACGCAGTAAGTGCTATTTAAGTGCTTGTTCTTATTTTGTGAAGGGTGGTAAATTATACACCTAAGTTGTTGGTGTATAATTGAGTCAATTCCGATGCATAGTGACCCTATGTGACAGAGTAGAACTGCTCCCTAGGGGTTTGGCTATAACCTTGACTGAAGCAGATCTCCAGGTCTTTCTCCCACAGTGTCATTGGGTGAGTTCAAACAGCCAACCTTTTGGTTAGCAGCCAGGTGTTTAACTATTGTACCACCAGTACTGCTTCTTTTTTATTTTTTTTTAATTATGATTTGAGTTACAGTTTGCAGAGAAAATTGGTTTTCCATTCAACAATTCATACATATTTTGTTTTGTGACATTCTTTGGGATCCCCACAGTGTAACAGCATTCTTCTCACTTCCTCCCTCTCTTTACCATTTCCCTTCATCCTTCTTTCCTATCCCTTCCTGCCTTTAAGAAGTGCTTTATCCTTGGGTAAATGCTGCCCTTTGATCTCACAAGGTTGATAGTTCTAATGAGTGCATGCTTCCTTGGTGTTATTTTCACTTTATAGGCCTTTCTGTCATTTGGCTAAAAGTTGAGCTACAGAGGTTAGTTAGTTCAGTTCCAGGCTTGAAATGTACCTAAGGCCCATAGTCTCAGGGGTTCCAGCAGTCTCTATCAGACTGGTAAGCCTGGCCCCTTTTTTTTTTTTTTTAATGATTTTGAATTTTGTTCCTCATTTTTCTCCAACTTTATCTGGAACATCCTATTGAGATCCCTTTCAGAGCAGTCAGCAGTGGTAGCTGGGTACCATCTAGTTCTTTTGGTCTCAGGGTCATAGAGGCTGGTGTGCATGTGGTCCAACTGCTTTGGACTAATTGTTTTCTTGTGTTTTGATTTTCTTCACTCTTCTTTGCCCTGGATGGGGAGAGAACATTACTTGCACCTTAGATGGCCATTCACAACTTTTAAGACCCTGTCTGCTACTCATCAAAGTAGGATTAGAATATTGTCTTTGCAGGTTATGTTATACCAATTGACTGTAGTGTCCCCCAAGACTATGGTCCTGAGCTCCCAGGCCACCAGTGCATCTTATAAATAGTGCAAGCCAAATGTTCTCTGTGCTCCTGGGATCCTGAAGAAGGAGCGGCCTCCCTGTAGCTGGGCTGCTCTTTGAGGCTTCCTGGAGGAGACAGACTGCCTTAGGAACATGTTGGGGTGGAAAGATGGGAGAGAAGATTGAAGGGGTAAAAGGGCATTTAAGGACCTGAAATGCCAACCTAGGTGTTTGTGCTTATCCTGGTCCCCCTTCCACCTCTGCTATCCCACAACATGCCTCCCTACCCCATCTTCCTGCCTCCATCTTACTCAAGTTCTCTCCTCTTCCACCTCCAGCTTTTCAGAAAGAGTCTCACACAGTCTATAAGAAATATGGGGAGAAGGTGGAATTCTCCTTCCCATTAACCTTCAAAGATGAAGACTTGAGTGGAGAGCTGAGGTGGCAGACAGAGGGGGCTTCCTCCCCCAAGTCCTGGATCACCTTCTCCTTGAAGGACAACAAGGTGTCTGTGACAGCATCTACACAGAACAAATTACAGATGAATGAGACGCCACTGCACATCACCCTGCCCCAGGCCTTGCCTCAATATGCTGGTTCTGGAAACCTGACCCTGGATCTTACCAAGGGAAAGCTACATCAGAAAGTGAGCCTTGTGGTGATGAAAGGTGAGGAGCCAGCCTGAGATGGAGTGGGTGGGAGAGGGTGGTGGAGGGGCCTGGCCCAGGGCTCCCTCCGAGGCAGGGTAGACTCTAAAAGAGGATGCCTACATAGGCCCTGGTTAGGAGTCCTTGGATAGTCAAATGGTTAACATGCTTGTCTGTTAACCAAAAGGTTGGTGGTTTGAATCCACTCAGAGGCACCTTGGAAGAAAGGCCTGGTGATGTATTTCTGAAAAATCAGCCTTTGAGAACCCTGTGGAGTATTGTGCTTCTCTGACACACATGGAGTCACCAGGAATTGGAATCAACTTGACAGAAATTGGTTTTAGGCCCTGGATGCCTGATTTTGCACTTATACTGAATTCACCGTCCTTCCCCGCCATCACTGAGCCAGCCTGGGGGCTGCTTCCACTGAAAGTCCCCAAAGGGCATGGGCTGAAAACTAAGGTTCTAGGTCTGCCTCTTCCCAGCTTACCCTCTGTGGCCCTGGCTAAACTCCCAACCCACCATGGGCCTGCTTTCTTACCTAACAAATGAGGATAACAAAATCTGCTCTTAGTAAGGTAGTAATGATGATAGTAACACTCATATCAGCCTCTAGGGTGAATTTTTCACATCCTTATCTCCTTAATTATCATAACAACTCCACAAATAAAAATGGCTAACACTTGATACATGCCAGGCCCTGTTCTAAGCACTTTATGCAGATTCATTCATTTAATTATTGTCTGAGGCTCAGAGCATTGCCTAACTTGCTCAGGGACACACAGTTAGCAAGCAGTGGAGCTGGGATTCAAACCCAAGACCATTGGACTCCAAAAGCTGTGTTTCCTCTATTACAACTGCAAGAAAATGTTCTCTGAGAGGCTAAGAGAAGGGCACTCGAGTAAAGCATTATATTTATTGTTCTACTGAACCCCCTTAGAGATTAGAGGCACAGGGAACCCAGAGGTCCAGGCTTCCAACCCCAGCCTCTTGTACCTCCGCAGTGACTCAGCTCCTAAGCAATTTGATCTGTGAGGTGCTGGGACCCATCTCCCCCATGATGACCCTGAGCTTGCAGCTGGAGAACCAGACGGCAAAGGTCTCAAAGCAACAGAAGCTGGTGGAGGTGTCGGACCCTGAGGTGGGGACATGGTGGTGTCTGCTGAGTGACAATGGCAAGGTCCTGCTGAAATCCAAGATTGAGGGTGAGGATTCAGCTCCCATACCTTAATCCCAAGGGTCTGCCTCCTTAGCCATGGGAACTTCTTGGGCATCATTGAGGCCATTTCCAATTCTTGTGAGATGGATGGGTTATACATATATGGCTTAAGACACAGAATTTCCGATTCCCTAAGGCCTAGAGCTCAGGAACAGGGCCCACCTGACCAAGCGCTACCTTCTTTGGCTCTCTTCTAAACACAGAGACAGACAGACAGACACACACACACAGAGCCCAGGGCCTGGACCACAGCTCTCCAGAGTACCCCATAGTCTCTAAAACATAAACTCCTTCCCCAGGTCTTCCCCTTCAAGTCCTGGTAGATCCTGTAAGAACTCTGGGAATGCTGCTCCTCTCTACCAGCCCAAGGCCAGATCCCAGGCTGGCTGGACAGCCAGCCTCCTCAGCCCATCCAGAGTGCCCTGGGCCCCTGATGAAGAGCACTGGCCACAGCATACCCCTTTCTCTTACAGTTCTGCCTAAAGATGAGTTCCTCAGACCTCCAGTGATGCTTCTGGCTGCAGGGCTGGGTGGTGGCATAGGCCTTTTGCTTTTCATTGGATTCTGCATCTTCTACTGTATCAGGTCTCGGAACCGTCGGGTGAGTGAGCCTCTCCAGAACCCCCAACATGGGTGACTGTATCCCTACCCCCTACAGGACCCTCCAGCACCTGAGGCCTGAACAGCAACAAGTGTATCCTGTACATGTGATCTGTTTCTGGTCTGGCTCTCTCTGCTCAGGGTTTCCTCACTGGAGAGAGGGCCTTGTCCTGGATGCCATGCAGAGGGAGAGACAGGAAGGAGCAGTGAGCTAATTCTGGGACAGATGGCCTCAGCTATAGTAACTGATTCTCCTCTCCCAGCTTCCCCCTCTCCCCCCTCCAAGGGGCACCTCCCTCCTGGAGGCCTGGGAACCTCACGACTTCCCTCCTTCTCCCTGGACAGCGCCAGGCAGAGCGGATGTCTCAGATCAAGAAGCTCCTCAGTGAGAAGAAGACATGCCAGTGTTCCCAGTAAGGAACTGGGAGGGAGGACAAGGGAGAGAAGGGAGGAGAAGGAAGAGGAAGGAGAGGAAAGAAGGGAGGGAGAGGAGGGATGGGAAGAAGAGGAATGGGAAAGGCGAGGAGGGAGGAGGAAGAGAGAGAGAGAGAGAAAGGAGGGGGTGAAGGGGGGGATGGGAAGAGGGAAGGAGGTGAGGAAATGGAGTGGAGAAGAGTGGTGAAAGGGATGACTGAGGAAGTAGGAACAGGCAGCCATGGAGCAGGTAGAGGGGAGCAGGTCTGGGATGTTTCTGGATAGAACCTTGCAGCTGTGGTCCAGAAGCCACACTGCACTAGAGAAGAACAGGTCTGGGAGCCATGAAGGTCCCAGAGGCAAAGGAGTTGGGGAGAAATAGTCTTGCTCTCCATATTCTTTGTTCCTTCAGCCGGTTCCAGAAGAAGTGTAGTCTCATTTGAGGCGCCAGGCCAGGGGGAGCTTCCCACTCAGCCTCCCCAGCTGTCCACCCCTGCATTTCCTGTTGTGCTCTAGAGGGCTGCGGACCAGATGAATGTAGCTGATCCCAGCACTTCTGACCATCTCCTGGTCCCCTCATGTACAGTTTGACTCTTTTGTTTCTCCTCTTCTGTTCCCAAGCCCTTTGGTTAGGCCTCAACCCAGTTGCTTGGGTCTTGCTCCCAGACTTCCAAAGGCTTAATCATGCCATTTCTTTCCCCTATTTCCTTCTCACTAAAGTCCTAGCCCTTCTTTGATTATTTCTTCTTGACTCTCTCCCCCACTACCCACTTGGACCCCAGGGGAGCACATAGAACCCACCCTGCCTGGCACGGAGGGTGAGGCTATGTGTCTGACATCAGGAAGCATATGACTATCCTTTTACAGGAGAGGACCCTTAGAGCAGAGAAGACAGGGACTCACCCGAGATCACACAGCCAGTCAAGAGAGACTCAGATGCAAAGGCTCCTGCCTGCCAGCCATCACCGTGTTGGCAGGGCTATGGACTCACATCCAGACCTGTGCATAAACAGGCACCCCTGGACACATACCTCTGTGTATACAGCCACACACTTGTACACAATTCCTTATTACCCAAGCAGCACATCTCAGTTTTTAACCCAATAGCTATCCAGTGTTTATTTGAACCTTAGGAAAATCCGGTAATTCTGACAATAACAGGACACCTTCAGTTTACAGATCAGAAATGGAACTCAGAAAGGTTAGCTGATTGCCCAAGGTCACACAGAGAGTGCTGGAGTTGGGATTAACCCAGGTCTCTTGATCCCTAGTTCAGTCCCACTGCTCTTTCTTGAACACAGGGACAAATACCACACAGATCTCTGCAGCTGGCCAGTCATAGGTGCCTGGTATGAACCTTTGGATTCACTGGTGCTCAATCCCCACAGGAAGGACTTGCCTGAGAGTTCAGGAACATGAAGGAAGCTCTCCCTGACTAAAATCCCTCCTTTATCACCTGCTGGTGGCAGAATCCTGTTGTCACCCTTCAGTTCTCCTAATCAGGAGGAGCCCTGCTGGCTTAGTGGTTAAAGTGCTTGGCTACTATCGGAAAGGTTGGCAGTTTGAACCCAGCAGCCACTCTAAGGGAGAAATATGAGCAGTGTGCTTCTGTAAAGATTTATAGCCTTGGAAACCCTATAGGACATTTCTACCCAGACCTATAGGATTGCTATGAGTCAGAATCCACTCCACGGGCAATGGGTTCTCCTAATGAAAGCACAGGCGGGGGCCATAAGTCCTGTGGGAGAGTGACCAGTGACCTGCCACTCATTGTGTACAGAACCTTCTGGAAGGTGAGCTTTGTTAGGGGGAGAGAGCAGAGAGGTAGCCTGAGAACTAAGGCCCTGAGAACTAAGGCCCTGAGGGCATTCCCTGTGAAGAGTAACAGCCCTGGGTCTCAGTCTTCCTGCCCTGCACCCTCCTCCATGCACCCCACCAAAACATGTAAGAGATGGGAATCATGGGTTTAGAAGTGTTCTTTTTCCTTCTCTTCTTCTTCCATTTCTCTCCTTTACTTTTTTTCCTCACTGCCCCGCCCCAACATTTTTTCCCTTTTCTGTCTTTGCCCCTTGCCTCTTCCAGGAAAACCACCCAAATGCTGCCAGGGATCCTCATTGTCTACTTTGTATCCCTACTCATTCCCCAGCGGTATCTCCCTGAGCTGACAGAAAAATGCAATAAACTTCCGATACAGAGAATGCTCCGCATTCTAATTCTGTTTAATTCTACCAGGACCTCACCCTCTCTGAAAGTGGGACTAGTGCTGTGCACACAGTCTCTTTGGGATGGGGTGTGTGTGTGTGTGTGACAGAGAGAGAGAGAGAGAGAGAGAGAGAGAGAGAGTAGTGCTTTCAAGAGAAACAGATAAACAGAAATCATGACATGGAATCAGATGGACCCTTCTCTGGACACCAGGACTCTTGGTCATTGTGATCAGACCCAGAGAAGAGGTTGTCAGGCCCACCCCTGGAAGAAGATGAAGTTGCCCTGGGGAGGAAGAATTCCCTGGAGGCTGGTTACCCACCTCCCCACCCTAAGGGGCTCTGTGTATGTATGTGTGTGTGTGTGTGTGTAAGTCTAAGATTTTGTAATAACATGTGTGTGAAATAATGGGAGAAAGACTGTAGGGTTTGTGCGTGACTACACTGTTTTTGTGTGTGATGGGAGAAAGGAGTTTGAGAAACTATGTGTGAGTTCAAATTGTGTATCCCCAGCATACATGTGAGTCTCTGTTCCAGGAGAAGCAGTCTGTGTATGTGTGTCTCTGTGTGTGTGCGTGCCCACATCATTTTAGACCTGTGCACACACACCCCTACTCCACAAGCAGCCCCAGTTAGCATCACAACAGCCCCTCACTCCCAAAACGCCTCCAGTTCATGCCTCTCTGAGCTCTACCGAAGCCACAGCCCTCACACAGCCACACACAGTGATACATGGTGACACACACTTCCTCCTCCCTGAACAGCTAGCTCCTCAGTCCCGAACAACACCAGCTGCCTCTCTGAGCTGGTGCTCGTGTGGAAAAACGGGATGGGGTGGGGGCAGGACAAGACCATCTCACCAACGAAGCCGTTCCCCTTCGTCCTCGGCGCCTTCCTTGCCCCTCCCCCGCCAAGTCACCACCGTCCAGTTCCCCGCCCTACACTCCACCCCATCCGCTCCCGAGAAGCTTTCCTTCTGTTTCCCTAACCAGGGGTGACTCGGGGAGAGAGGGGCCTGGAGAGACCGAGAGAGGCTGAGACCAAGTGAGAAGGGGCCGAGTCGTAGAGGCTGGGACTGAAAGGGGAGGAGGAAGGCCCAGGGGGAGGGGGGGAGGAGGGGAGGAGGGAGCACGGCGCACTGGAGCCGGCAGGCGGCGGGAGCCCGAGAGAGCCGCCTCGGGAGTGCGGTCTCCATGGCAGTGCTGGGTGCAGCCAGAGGTAAGACGACCCCTGCCCCGGCCCCCGCGGCTCCCGCCCTTCTCCCCACCAGCTGCCTCCTCTCCCCTCCGGCCGTCCCCTCCTCCCAGCCACCTGCTGTCTCTGCCCTGGAGAACACGGTGGGTGGCAGGAGGGAGGAGCCACCTGACCTTACCCCCTTCACCCCGAAGGGCGAGGGACCCCTGGTCGGCCCAGGACCCCACAGATTTCCCCTCCCACGTTCCTCTGATCTCTCTGCCCTTCACCTTCTCTCTGTCCTTCATATCCTTCTTGCCTGCCTCCTTCCCTCCCCCTTGGACTCACCATCGCTTTTTTTCCTGAGCCCACCTGCTGGGCCTGTGGGTGGGGTGGGTGGGAAGGGGTCCAAGGCTGTAGCGGAGGGTAGTGTGTGTGGGGGAACGTTCCTGACCAATTCCCTCCACCTCCTTCCCTCTGGCTGGCCATTGCCATGGCAACTAGGGTGTACTGGGCTCCGGAGGGAAGACAAAGGTTGGGGGTGGACTAGGACCTCTTGGAGAAGTCAGGGGTCTAAGAAATAGACCCTTTCACCATTTTACCCCATTTTCAACCCTCACTTACCCCAAAGCCATTATGCCCATCCCCATAGCTCCCACTCTGTTCTGGGTGTCAGTAGCCCCCTCCCCAGGGTTCACCAGAGCTCATCATCATTAAAGTCAGGACTGTCCTCCCTCCCATCATAGGAGAAACTGAGGTTCCAGGGCAGGGAAGGAGAAAAGCAAGAGCTCCCAGTGAGGGTCAGCATGTTACTGAACATTTGGCTTTTCTTGTTAGCCTCCCCATTCCCTGCACCCTACCTCCATCCAACTCCTCCTCCCTCCAAAGCCTCCTCTCCAGGGGTCTCTGGTCTTTTCTTTCTATTTTCAGATACTATCACTTTGCCCCTTCTTTCTCCTGCTCAAACTCTCCTCCTTCCTTCTAATTCCCCCTATTTCCATTTCTGGATGCTTCTGATGTCAGTGGTTTCCCCGCCTTCGGGTTCCCTACCGCCACCACCACCACCCAGCCCCAGCCGCCTCTCTTCTGTCCTACCAGATCACTGAGTAGGTGGAGGGTGATCATCCCAGGCTTTGGGAAATGGGGCTGACCACCACCAAGATCACTAGCCACAGGGGACTGGAAGGTTGGGGAGGGGGCTGTAATACTGTATCTCAGTTTACTGTGAACCCTCAAGAAGAAACAAGTCATGTGTGAAGGGAGATCTCTTAGGAACATGGAGCTGGGGGTCTCTAGGTAGTATTAAGCAGGAGATATTATAAAATGAAGAAACCTGGGAGTGCCAGAGGGAGAAGAAAGGGTTAAAAAGATAGGAAGGCAAAGATGTCTTCTTCCCTGGGGGTCTGGAAGAGCAGGAGCTCTTATCTGTGTGGGGTAACTGAGTGGTCATCTGATTTACAGTCAGGGGAATGTTTTGAATAACCCCTATAGTTTAAAGAGAAGGGAGGGGACCACAAGAAGCCAGTTGAAAGCCAGGTTAGGCCCTCCCTGTGCCCACCCTTGCTTCCACATCTCATCTCTCCCTTGCAGCTTGTCCAGGTGGCTGAGCCCCACCCCCAGAACCCCTTGAGGCATCTAGAAGATTCCCGACTGGTCAAGAACCAGAGGAAGAAGAGACCTGGAAGTTGGCATGTCCCTCCAGACAATCTTATAGTTGGGAAAGCAACCAGCTTGCTCCCCTCCATCAACCACAGGGATACTTAAGAAGGGGCCCCACCCAATATGGAAGCTGAGGACTGCCTCTGCTGACCCTCAGCTTCCTCCCTTGCCCTCCACACCTGCCCTCAGCTGGGTCAGTCATGCAATGCTGAGCAGTGAGGGGGGCCTGGGGGCAGCCTGCCTCACCACAGGGCAAGAATTGTGGGCATCATGGGGGTGTGTGTGAGTGAGGCTCCTGGGTGAGACCTAGCCCCCGCCCCCAGGAGTTCGAGGGGGGGTGGGGGGCCGAAGATAGGATGGCTCGGGGTGGGGCGGGGGCAGAGGAGGCCTCCTTACGCTCCAATGCATTGTCCTGGCTAGCCTGCGGGCTGCTGGCACTGCTGGCCAATGCCTGGATCATCCTTAGTATCTCGGCCAAGCAGCAGAAGCACAAGCCGCTGGAGTTGCTGCTCTGCTTCCTAGCAGGCACACACATACTTATGGCGGCTGTGCCCCTCACTACCTTTGCTGTGGTGCAGCTACGGCGCCAGGCTTCCTCCGACTATGACTGGAATGAGAGCATCTGCAAGGTCTTTGTGTCCACCTACTACACACTGGCCCTAGCCACCTGCTTCACAGTTGCCTCACTCTCCTACCATCGCATGTGGATGGTGCGTTGGCCCGTCAACTACCGCCTCAGCAATGCCAAGAAGCAGGCACTGCATGCGGTCATGGGCATCTGGATGGTCAGCTTCATCCTCTCCACGCTGCCCTCTATCGGCTGGCACAACAACGGAGAGCGCTACTATGCCCGCGGCTGCCAGTTCATAGTCTCCAAGATTGGCCTTGGCTTTGGTGTCTGCTTCAGCCTCTTGCTACTTGGAGGCATTGTCATGGGACTGGTCTGTGTGGCCATTACCTTCTACCAGACGCTGTGGGCCCGGCCTCGGAGGGCCCGACAGGCCCGGAGAGCAGGGGCTGGTGGTGGGGCCAAGGGAGGTGGGCCAGGGGGCTTGGGTACTCGACCAGCCTTTGAGGTGCCAGCCATTGTGGTGGAGGATGCTCGAGGGAAGCGGCGATCCTCGCTGGACGGCTCTGAGTCTGCCAAGACGTCTCTGCAGGTCACCAATTTAGTCAGCGCCATCGTCTTTCTCTATGACTCACTCACAGGGGTACCCATCTTGGTGAGATCGGGGTTCCCCATCCTTCCTTCTCTCTCCAATATCCAGGCCCCAGTATCATCACCTGACCTCCAATTCCATCAGCCATACAGTGGCTCCATCATCTCTCCTTCAGTTCCATCATCCATCTTCCTCTCCTCTACCCATCCCCCACTCCACCTCAGTGCCCCCATCTCTATCATCTGTCTTCTAGTTCCCACTACCCCATTCCCCAGCTCCGTCGTGTTTTCTTGTTCCCACTACTCAACTCTATCATCCATTCTGCAATTCCAGTAGCTGCCCTCCAGCTCCATCACCTAATCTGCAGGTCCATTCTTTAGTCCCTGAGACCTCTCATCCAGCTGTCAAGCTCCGTTCTCCATTCCCTAATTTCCTGTGATAACACGCAATCTCTGAGCACTCCTGAGCAGAAACTCCACTACCTCAGCTTTCTGCATCCCCATCTAGTCCCTATACCTGGAGTTCTCTATCTTCAAGTTTCTGGCACCACCTCTGCTTTTTTCCCACCTAACCCCAGGGCTCTGTCTCCAGTGCTCTCCCTCGACCTTCCCTCTGTCCACCCATCTCCACCTCCAACTGTGCCTCTGTAGCATCCTGTCTGAACCGGGGTACTCCTGACTTCTTCCCCACCAGCAGCGCTACCGAGTTTGGTGGCCCATCGGTCTGGGCTCTGAACCTGTGCCATTCCTTATTTTGCCACTAGGTGGTGAGCTTCTTCTCCCTTAAATCGGACTCGGCTCCCCCGTGGATGGTGCTGGCTGTGCTGTGGTGCTCCATGGCACAGACGCTGCTGTTGCCCTCCTTCATCTGGTCCTGCGAGCGCTACCGTGCTGACGTGCGCACCGTGTGGGAGCAGTGCGTGGCTATCATGTCCGAGGAGGATGTCGATGAAGGTCAGAGGAGGGCCTGGGCTTTTGTTTTCCCGGGCATTGACTTCCGTTTCTACCACCCCTTCTCTGTGCAGGGAAGGGCTGCCCTGGAGTGCCCCCTACTGGACAGAACCTGTGTCATCCGTGGGCTGACTTGGGTTCCTTTTTCCCTAAGCAACACCTTCGCGCTTTGGCGTGCATCCATTGCTACCGTTTGCATCAAGGACTCTCTTCACTGGGCCTCGGCTTCTCTGTAAAAGCTCACAGTGCCACAGCTCTTCCCCACTGGGCAAGAGTGCCTGAGAAACAGCCCTACCCACAGGCATAAAGGAAGGCTGTAACATTAAAGGGAGGCTAAGAGTTCTGGGAGAGCTCTGGTGGCACAGTGGCTAAAGCACTTGACTGCTAACCAAAAGGCTGGCAGTTCAAACCCACCAGACACTCCGTGGAAGGAAGGTTGGGCAATCTACTTCCATAGTGATACTGCCTCCAAAACCCAAGGAGGGGTCGCTATGAGTTGGATCCGACTCCGCAGCAGTGAGTTCGTTTTTTTTTTTTAATTGGAAGAGTTCTGGTGGCTTCGTGCCCAACACATTTGACTACTAACCAGAAGGCTGGAGGTTCAAACCCACCAGCCACTCCTCGGGAGGAAGACTGGGCAACTTACTTCCATAGAGATACCGCCTCGGAAACCCAAGGAGGGGTCGTGATGTGTCGGAATCGACTCTTTATCAGTGAGTTTAAGTTTCATGAGAAGCACCCCCAGCTATAGGAAGAGCATTTGGTGGGGGGAGGTGGTAGTTGTTTCAATAGATGTCTACATGTATGAAGCACCGGGGATTCAACATTGAACGCAACAGGCACTAGCCACTCTCCTGGCCCAATTGGAGCTCACAGACCAGTGGGAATAGAAGCGTTCTCCCAGAGCTTATTAAGGAGGAAGAATGGCTATTTCCTGCCTGTAAACACTGCACTCTGCCCCTTTTCTCTCAGATGGGGGCTGTGATGACTATGCAGATGGCCGAGTGTGCAAAGTTCGCTTTGATGCTAATGGGGCCACAGGACCAGGTTGCCGGGACCCCACCCAGGTGAAGCTGCTGCCTGGAAGGCACATGCTCTTTCCTCCTCTTGAGAGGGTCCACTACTTACAGGTATGGACTGGAAAATACACCTCTGACCCTAGGCACCTGCTCACCACTTTGCTGCAGGCTCTGTTATCCATCCTCAGGGTACCAAAGGGGTGGGTGAAAGAAATGCATGGAAAGAGAGGTACCTCTTCAGACCTCTCAGAACCAGGTTTGCCAACTGCAGGAAATTTTGCAAAAGTTTAAGGGAGTGGAGCCAGCTACCACCTTGCAGTGTCCCCACTTTGGTTCTCATCTCTGTTCCCTTTATGCCTGCAGCTCCTCTAGGCTTTACTTGCTTCTGTCCCTAGGTCCCTCTGTCCCGCCGTCTGTCCCACGATGAGACCAACATTTTCTCTACCCCACGGGCACCAGGCTCCTTCCTGCACAAGTGGTCATCCTCTGATGACATCCGGGTCCTCCCAGCCCAGAGCCGAGCCCTGGGGGGTCCTCCTGAGTACCTAGGACGACGCCACAGGCTAGAGGATGAAGAGGATGAGGAGGAGGCTGAAGGCGGGGGGCTGGCCAGCCTCCGCCAATTCCTGGAGGGTGGGGTTCTGGGGGCAGGTGGGGGACCTACACGAGGTCCTGGCTTCTTTAGGGAGGAGATCACCACCTTCATTGATGAGACACCTCTGCCTTCTCCAACTGCCTCACCAGGGCCCTCTCCTCGCCGGCCCAGGCCACTGGGCCTTTCACCCCGCAAACTGTCCCTTGGGTCCCCTGATAATGGAGCCATCGTACTTCCTTTGGGGCTAAGTGCTGGGAGACGTTGCTCCCTGACAGGGGGTGAGGGGACTGCAAGGGCTTGGGGAGGATCTTGGGGCCCAGGCAACCCCATCTTCCCTCAGCTGACCTTGTGAGCTCAAGTGGGTCTGCTGAACTGAGAGGAGGAACCTGGGTAGGTAACACCTCATTCTGGCACTGAGCCGAGAGCAGTTGCCTCCAGACTCTTGGGTGGTGGGCACTGGAACTGGAGCCCTGGGGCCCTTGCTGTTTCCCATCCAAGTGACCAGATGCCCTACTCACCTTCTATCATCCCTAGCAAAATGTATTAAAGTCTGAAGTGTTACCATGGAAACTTTTGTGCCAAGTGTACTGTGGTGGCAAAGGGTCAGAGGCATGCGGGGTAGATGGCTCATAGAGGACAAAATGTACAGGGGCAGTGGACAGAGGCTGTGGTGCAGTGATTTACTTAATATGGATCTTCTAGCTATAGTCTGTGGCCCACATAATGGTGGGCGGGAGTATACAAATAAGGTGCTTGTGGCCCACTCAAAGGACTGGACAGCTTGCTTGCTAATGCAAATAAGGTGCATAGAGTCCAAAAGGGGATCAGTCAGTTTTACCTTAAAGTGAGTCATCCCAGAAGTGGGTGAGGGTGGGGAACACTACCACCAAGAAGAGGGGAAGCAGAACTCATCCCTTGGACCTGAGGTCTCTGCACTGAGAATTTCTTAGACTCAGGAGACAGAGAGGGCATGGAAACACCAGAAATGGCACAAGACAGAAGGGGAGGCAAGTGCAGCAGAGAACCAGTAGCAGTAGAACCAGGAGACCAGCAGGAAAAGGTGTAGGTGTGGTGAGTTTCCTGGCCCCCCATCCAGAAAGCCAGAAGCTTGCAAGTGGAGGAGTGATGTGCTCCTGGATACTTGGCAGAGCTAGATTTGAAGACTGGAGACTCAAGAGTTGGAGAGCTGAGTGTCTTTGGGCTGAGGCATACTGGCACAGTGGGGTACCTCTGGGCACTTATGGGGGTGGGGTGAGTTTTGTAATATTTGGCAGGGCAGAGGCCAGGCGACTGCTGAGGGCCAGAGAGAGGTCTGCCTTTGAGCATGGCTGAGAAGAGGCTGTTCTGATCTGTATCCTGAGTACTTCCTGATCCTAAATTGTAAACTGTTACTTTCCTAAATAATCCCGTAATTGTGAATACGGTCTGTCAGTTCTGTGTGGCCACCGCAATGAATTACTGAACCCAGCACAGGAGTACAGAGCTGTCTGACGAATGGCTGGTGTAGAATTGGTCAAAAGGCTGGACATAGGAGGTATGGCTGCCCTCAACATCATAGGGATCAGCTTTGGGCTGCTGATGCTGATAATAATTTTCCTTCCCCCCTTGTGAAGTTGGAGGTCAGATGCCCTCACCATGCCATTTGTCACGGAAAGACACATGAAGAAATTAAGCACACAACCTCAAACATATAGACATACACAGAGATAGGCATGTAAGAACATGTCATGGTGAGGGAGGGGCCATAAGGAGATGCTCCAGTTTGCTGGTTTGGGATGTGAGGGATCTTTATTCAGATTTGTGGAGGTGGTTTTAGAGTGTGGCTTTATCCCCAGTGCCCCACTTCTCTTTGTTCCTTCAAATCCATCCAGGGACTCATTTTCTGGGGGAAGGGTTTGGGCCTGATTTGGTGATAGGGACCTGGAGTTTCCATCTTCCATGATGCATTCTGAAGTGAGATCTTTCGCCAACACTGGTGTGGGGCTGCGCTCCTCCACACTACGTTTCTTTAACCCAAGAATGGAGGGGAGCACAGCCCCAGTAGTTACACCCACACTGCCCACACCAGGGGTTTCAGGCTGCAGTCAAGGATTCCAGGTAGGCTCCCCACCTTGCCCTCCAGGGTGCCAGGCCTGCTCCAGTTCCTCACCTTTTGCTCCCTCCTCTCCCAGAAATGGAAACCTGCTTCCCATTTCACACTAGACCCACTTATCTTAAATACCACTTTCCCGGGCTCCCTGACTTCTCTTTCCCTCTCACATTGGCCTCTCCCAGGGTTGAGTAACGGCCACATCAGCTCTTTGGCTTCGCTCATCCCCTCTCCCTCCTCCCCTCTATCTCTCATTCCTTTCCTCTCCCTCCTTCTTCCCCCCTTTGCTCTCCCTCCCTCTCTGTTCCCCGCATTTCCCTCCGGCTGCCGGCCGGTGGCTCTGGCACCATGCTACGGCTCCTTCGGTTGCTGCTGCTGCTGCTACTGCTGCCTCCTCCGGGATCCCCTGAGCCCCCCGGGCCCCCAGGTCTTGCCCGGCTGTCTGCGGGGGCGCTCCCCCAGGCCCCAGATTTGCTCTACGCGGACGGGCTGCGCGCCTACTCGGCCGGAGTTTGGGCGCCGGCTGTGGCGCTGTTTCGGGAGGCGCTGCGGAGCCAGGAGGCTCTGGGCCGCATGCGGCAGGACTGCGGGGCAAGCTGCGCAGCCGAGCCAGGAGCCGCGCTCCCCGCCGTACTCCTTGGCTCCCCGGGGCCCGAGTCCGGACCAGGACAGGCGCCAGGCTCCTGGGAGCTACTGCTCCTTCGCGCCGCGCTCCGTCGCGCCGAGTGCCTGACTCAGTGCTCCGCGCGGAGGCTTGGTCCTGGGGGCGCGGCGCGGCTCCGCGTGGGGAGCGCACTCCGAGACGCCTTCCGCCGCAGGGAGCCCTACAACTACCTGCAGAGGGCCTATTACCAGGTGTGGGCCCGCCCGGGTCACTTCGGGGTTCCGACCTACCTAAGTTGCTGTCCTACTTGGAGTTCACCACGAGAGGGCGGAATGCTGGCACTGGGGACTACTAGGGTGGGGCTGTGGGGACGTACGCGGCCCTCTACATTAAGCAAGTTCTACCCAAACTACGCCGAGTACCTCCTGAGAACGCAAAAGGAGAGCCTAGGCAGGATGCTAGCAAGGTTACCACGGGGGCAGGTCTTGAGGCGGGGCGGGAGTAGATCGAAGATGGAAGCAGGGGTCCTGCAATTTCATTTTAGTCTATATAGAGGTGAGCGCCCCTCCTTCTTAGGAATACAGCGAAGGGGTTGGAGGCAGGACCAGCTAGAATCCAGGAAGTTTAAGGGGGATGGTTTGAGTGGGAGCCTCGGCTTGGGGGCGTGAGCGAGCCTCTTGGGGAGGTAAGTGGAAGGGGGGGCTGAGTCTGGCTTTCCTGGGGGCGGGGTGGATGCTGCCCAGCTACTGGTATTTGTAGCTGCTGCCTACGTGGCTGAGGGTGGGGTGGCGGTGGCGCTGGTTACATACACCTCTGCTCAGGGTCCTAGAGTTCAGCGGGTTTGCCGGTCGCTCAGGTCTCCCCAATTTACCCCCCTCACTTAGCCATCACGTCCACCTCATCTCCCGAACTGAGGCCCTGAGGCCCCTTTGCCTATGTCCTATGGATTCCGAAGCCTTTGGCCCCCCATTCCTTAGCTGCCAGACTCCTGAGAGTCCCAACATGCTGATTTCTAAGGGGTCTGGAGGATGGAGGGTTAGGGCCATTCTGACTGATTAGGCCTCCAGGGGCAGACCCAGAGTTGTACAAAATTTCATTTTAGTCTACCTGGAGGTGAAGGTCTGACATCCCCACCTCAGGGCACTGACTCCCTTATCCCTTGGCTCAGCTGAAGAAGTTGGACCTGGCAGCAGCTGCAGCACACACCTTCTTTGTAGCGAACCCAACACATCTGCAGATGCGAGAGGACATGGCTAAGTACCGCCGCATGTCCAGGGTTCGGCCCCAGAGCTTCCGAGACCTGGAGACACCCCCACATTGGGTGAGAGCTTTTGTACTACCCCTGTACTGCCCTCAGCCTTTGGTTGGATACACAGGCCTCACTGGATGATAACCCTGTGCAGCTTGGATATCAGGTGACCTGGATTCTTGTCCTGAGTGAGCCTGAGGAGGAGTCCCTCTCTGGGCCTTTGTTTTGTTCCTGCATGATCACTAAAGCCCAGTATTCTAACATTCTTATTCTAAGGCCTACTCCTGTCTTCCTCAAGGTGAAGAGAAGCATGGGCCCTATGCCTCAAACAAGACCAACTCCTCTTCTACTTCCCAACCCTGTCTGGTACCCTGAGAATCTCAGGTGACTGACCACCCCTCCTCAACAGGCAGCTTATGATGCAGGCCTGGAGCTGCTGGGACGACAGGAGGCAGGACTGGCACTGCCCAGGCTGGAGGAGGCCCTACAGGAGAGTCTGGCCCAGATGGAGAGCTGCAGGGCTGGTTGTGAGGGGCCTGAGGAGCAGCAGGGGAAGGAAGTTGAGGAGGAAGGCACTGGGAACCAGGGGGGCCTCTATGAGGCCATTGCAGGTAGGGGGCTGGATATGTGGGGGGATTCGGGTGCCAGAGGGAGGATCATGCCTAAGCATAATGGGTCATATGTGTCCTCCACAGGGCACTGGATTCGGGTCCTGCAGTGCCGGCAGCGCTGTGGGGAGGACGTGGCCACACGTCCTGGTCGCAGCTCCCCTGTCCCCGACTTCCTTCCCAGCCAGCTGAGGTGGCTGCACGAGGCCCATGCTCAGGGTCAGTTGTGGAAGGCTGGGCCCTGGAGGTGACTGGGGTTGGAAATAGGAGTGAAGATTTTCCCCTGATGTCATCTTGAGCTTCCTGTCTCCATCCCTGCCATCTGTCTCTGGATCTGTAGTTTTACTATCAGGGTTCCATGGGAACTGTCACTTCAGGAGGACTCTAAGTGCTCTCCTTCTTTGGTGCCATTGTGAAAAGTTCAGGAGATAGTCAGAGGACTCCTTCTGCCCTTGCTGCTTCTCAGCCTTCTTTATCTTCTCTGCTCTTCTTCCTATTTGAACTCTGCCCAGCTAAGGTATGTTTGAGTAAGTTTTGAGAGAAGTGACGGATGAGCATGTGTGCCGGGCGGGAAGGGGGTGCTTGGAATTGGTTGGCATTGGGAAACCATCTTCTCCGGCTCCTGTCCACTTGTCTCTACCTCTGCCCGAGGATCACACTGTCTCCCCACCCCTCACCCCCTTCCTCTTTCTCCAGTGGGGAATCTGTCCCAGGCTATGGAAAATGTCTTGAGTGTCCTGCTGTTCTACCCGGAGGATGAGGCTGCCAAGAAGGCTCTGAACCAGTACCAGACCCAGCTGGAAGAGCCGAGACCTGGCCTTGGGCCAAGAGAGGTAACCCTTTTCCTCACAGACCCTGTGTAAAGTAATCCTAAACCAAACAAATATACCTGGACCCAACCCCACATTCTGGTCTGTCTTAGGTACCTGGTGCTGCTATAATACAAATACCACAAGTGGGTGGCTTAATTTAAACACTGGAGATACTCTGAGTTCCAGAGACTGAAAATCCAAATCAGAGCCCTGTTGATTCCTTCCTTGTCAGTAGGACCATTTCTTAGTTCCTTGGATCCTCACATGGTGTCCATCTTCGCGTATATGTGTGTGCCTGTGTGTCTAATCTGCTTTTTTCATAACTCAGAAGTGATTAGGTTTAAGATCCACCCTACACTGGCATGATCTCAACTGATTTGTTATTATATTACGGAAGGTGATTATATTATATGAGATAATGTTATATTAGGTGATAACGTTTCATTGCATTAGATGTGAGATAATTACATTGCATTACATTACATCAGCAGTTATATGGGTTAGGATTCCAACACATATTTTGGTGAGAATAGTATTTAATTCATGACATGTTCTCTTAACCTGTGCACTCTTTTCCCCAACCCACGTCCAACATCTGACTTCTGTCTCAACTCCCTGTTTCCCTTTCAGACTACTTCAGAGTCCAGCCTTCAATCCCAATCTTCTTCCTTTAACCTCAATTCAGCCTGTCCTACCTTCTGCTCAGACACACATATCTGCATGCATAGACACATACTCACACAAACACTTCCACTCGTTTGCGCGCAGACATTCTGAAGCTGTTAAAGAGAAAGGCTGAACCAAGAGGCACAAGGAAGGATTTAGTGGCAGGTAGTCCCCTAGCACTTGGGGCCATGCTGCTCCCCTCTAGCCTTAACAACCCTGCCCCATTTAATTCTTGTCTCATAGCTTCTTACTACCATCCAACTCCCCTTGCTCAGGACATTCAGCGTTTCATCCTGCGATCCTTGGGGGAGAAGAGGCAGCTCTACTATGCCATGGAGCACCTGGGGACCAGCTTCAAGGATCCTGTGAGTAACCCCCTTATTTTCCTGTCACACTCCTCCCACCCCTCAGGGCTTCTAAGAAAGGAGATAATAGAAATGCCCTAAGATGTCACTTCAATTTGCAACAGTGTTTCCGCTGTTCTGGCACTTGACTGCTAACCAGAAGGCTGGCGGTTCAAACCCACCAGCCACTCCTCGGAAGGAAGGTTGGGCAATCTACTTCCATAGTAATACTGCCTCGGAAACCCAAGGAGGGGTCACTATGAGTCGGGTCTGACTCGACAGCACATAACAACAACAACAGCTCATCTGTTTTTTCCACAGTCCTGTGAGGCTTGGAGGGAGTCTGTCATTCCAGTTTTACAGTCGGAAACAGTGTGCCTATAGTTCAGGGCAGTTTTGGGTCATGCAGGCCTGAATGTCAGTCCCTACTCTGCCACTAATAAGCTCAGAACCTTAACTTGCCCTGGCCTCAATTTCCTTACCTGTAAAATTGGAATATCACAACTATCTCATAGAACTATTGAAACCATATCATTTGATATAAAGTATGGAAGCTTAAAGAAGCTCTAGGTGGCACAATGGTTAAGCACTCAACTGCTAACTGAAAAGTTGGTGGTTGAAACACCCAGCAACTCCACAGGAGAAAGACTTGGTGACCTGACTCTGTAATGACTACAGCCTAGGAAACCCTATGGGGCAGTTCTGCTCTCTCATGGGGTCGCTATGAGTTGGAATTGACTCGATGGCACCTAATAACAACATGGAAGGCTCTGTTGCTGCTGCTTTTATTACTTGTCTTGTTACAGGAACTAAAGGGCAGAGGTTATCCATAGCTGGCTCTCTATAGCAGACAGCAGGATTTCTCAACCCCAGAGCTATTGACATTTTAGGCCGGCAAGCTCTTTGTTGGTAGTTGGAGGTGGAGGGTGTTGGTGGCTGCCCTGTGCATGGTAGGATGGTTAGTAGCATCCCTGGCCTCTATCCAGTATTTGTCAATAGTACCTCCTGAGTGATGGTAATCAAAGATATTCCCAGACTTTCTAATGTCCTCTGGAAGTTCAAAATCACCCTGGTTGAGAACCACTGGTCAAGAGTGTGGACTGTGAAATTAGTTCAGGTACGAGCTCTGTCACTCACTAGCTGTGTGATCTTGAACTTGTTAACTTTACCTCAGTGTGTCTGAGAGTTCTCTGTATTAAAATGGGCACATTAATACTATGTATTTCATAGAACTATTATGACTATTAAATGATAAATTCCACTTCCATGTATAAGCCCTTAGAATGTTGTTGTTGCTGTTAGGTGCTGTGGGGTCAGTCCCTACTCGTAGTGACTCTATGTGTAACAGAACAAAGCACGGCCTGGTCCTTTGCGTCCACACAGTCGTTGCCATGCTTGAGCCCATAGTTGCAGCCACTGTGTCAATCCATCTCGTTGAGGGTCTTCCCCTTTTTCGCTGACCTTCCACTTTACCCAGCATGATATCCTTCTCCAGGGGGTGGTGGTCTCTTCTTACAACATGACCAAAGTACGAGAGGCCAAGTCTGACCATTCTCACTTCTAAAGAACGTTCTGGCTGTTACTTCCTCCAAGGCAGATTTGTTCATTCTTCTTGCAGTCCATGGTACCCTCGATATTTTTTGCCAACAGCACAGTGCAAAAGCATCAATTCTTCTGTGGTCTTTCATATTCACTATCCAGCTCTCACATGCATATGAAGCTATTGAAAAATACCTTAGTTTGGATCAGGCACTCCTTAGTCTTTAGAGTGACATCTTTGCTCTTAAACAATTTAAAGCCATCCTTTGCAGCACATTTGCCCAATGTGATACATCGTCTGATTTCTTGAGTGCTGCTTCCATGGATGCTGATTGTGGATCCAGGTGAAATGAAATCTTTGAAAAAACTCCAGTCTTTTCTCCGTTTATCAAGATGTTGCTGATTGGTCCAGTTGTGAGGATTTTTTTTTTCTTTATGTTGAGGTGTAATCCACACTGAAGGCTGTAGTCTGATCTTCATCAGTAAGTGCTTCAAGTCTTCTTCAATTTCAGCAAGCAAGGTTGTGTCATCTGTATATCACAGGTTGTTATTGAGTCTTCCTCCCATCCTGATGCCACAATCTTCTTTATATAATTTGGCTTCTTGGATTGATTGCTCAGCATAAAGATTGAATAAGTATTGTTGTTGTTATGTGCTGTCGAGTCAGCCCTGACTCATAGCAAACCCTCCTTGGGTTTCCGAGGCAGTATCACTACGGAAGTAGGATTGCCCAACCTTCCTTCCGAGGAGTGGCTGGTGGGTTTGAACCGCCAGCCTTCTGGTTAGCAGTCAAGTGCCTTAGCCACTATGCTACCAGAGCTCCCTGAATAAGTATGGTGAAAGGATACTACCCTGATGCATACCTTTCCTGATTTTAAACCATGTAATATCCCCTTTTTCTGTTTAAATGACACCATCTTGTTCTATGTAAAGTTTCCTCACGAGCACAATTAAGTGTTCTGGAATTCCCATTCTTTGCAATGTTACCCAAAATTTGTTATGATCTACATAAACATCTTTCTGGTATTCTTTGCTTTCAGCCAAGATCCATTGGACATCAGCAGCGATATCCCTTGTTTCATGTCCTCTTCTGAATCCAGCTTGAATTTCTGGAAGTTCCCTGTCAATGTACTGTTGCAAACATTTTTGAACTATCTTCAGCAAAATTTTACTTGCATGTGATATTAATGATTTTGTTTGATAATTTCCACATTCTGATTGTGCAGTCTACTTCTGTAGTGATACTGCCTTGGAAACCCAAGTAGGGGTCGCTGTGAGTCAGCTCTGACTCAATGGCAGTGTTTGATTCAGTTTTGCTTGGTTGAATCACCTTCCTTTGGAATAGGCACAAATATGGATCTCTTCTAGTCAGTTAGCCAGGTAGTTGTCTTCCAAATTTCTTGCCATAAACAAGTGAGCGCCCCTAGCACTACATCTCTTTGTTGAAACATCTCAATGTATTCCATCAATTCCTGGAACCTTGTTTTTTCCCACTTCTTCAAGTACAGCTTGGATTTCTTCCTTCAATACCATTGGTTCTCAGTCATATGCTACCTCCTGAAATGGTTGAACATCATCCAATTCTTTTTGGTACAGTAACTCAGTGCATTCCTTCCATTCTCTTTTGATCCATCCTGTATCATTTAATATTTTGTCCATAGAATCCTTCAATATTGCAACTTGAGGCTTTAATTTTTCCTTCAGTTCTTTCAGCTTGAGAAATGCCAAGCATTTTCTTCCTCTTCTATTTTCTATCTCCAGGTCTTTGCATGTTTCATTGTAACATTTCACTTTGTCCTCTCAAGTTGCCCATTGAAATCTTCTGTTCAGGTCTTTTACATCATCATTTCTTCCTTTTGCTTTAGCTATTCTTTCAAGAGCAAATTTCAGTCTCTTCTGACATCCATTTTGAACTTCTCTTCCTTTTCTGTCTTTTTAATGATCTTTTGCTTTTTTTCATGTATGATATAAATGCTATGTAAGTGGTCTTTGTTGTTGTTATTATTGTTACCAACATTACAGAGTTTGATCAAGAGCCCAGGTCCCTGATATTGAGTCCAGGCATTTCCCCACCTCTGCCTTCCCCTCCAGAAGCAGGAGAACCTTAATGTGATAGTTTGTAGTCTAATGTCAGGGAGTCTCTGGGCTAGACTTGGTGGATGATGGATTTTTTCCTGACTGTCCCAGGATCCCTGGACCCCAGCGGCTTTCATCCCCGAGGCACTTAGAGAAAAGCTCAGGTAGGAGATGTCCTGTGGTGGGAGGGGCCTGATCTGAGCTGGAAGGTGGGGGAAGGGATGCGGGTGTGCTGATTCTAGGGAGGATGGGTCTATACTGTTGTCCTGTGCATCCACTGAGCATGTCTCTCACCCCTGAGAGAGGATCAGGAGAAGAGGCCTTGGGACCATGAGCCTCCGCAGCCAAAGCCCTTGACTCACTGGAAGGGTGAGTTTCTGGAAGTGCAGGAAGTAGAACCCTGAGGGCTTGGGGGCTGCCAGGTACTGCAGGGCCTGCCTTCCGGAGATGCCAGCCACCTCCACCTGTCATTCTCTTCAGATGTCCTTCTCCTGGAGGGAGTGACCCTGACCCAGGATGCAAGGCAGCTGAATGGCTCAGAGCGAGCAGTGTTGGATGGGCTACTCACCCCAGCTGAGTGTGGCATGATGCTGCAGCTGGCCATGGTAAGAAGACTGGTAAGGAGGTGGTAGCAGTTGACTGTAGGGACCCCCAGGCACAGCTCTTGGCCTGCATTCTGCCTTGGTTCTGTCCTGCCCTGACTCTAGCTAGGACTGTGCTTGTCACTGCCTTTCAGGTATGGACAAGTTCCTTTTCCCCTTAATTTAGCCAACATGAAGTAGATGTTATTTACAAAGAAATTTTGCTAGGAAGTGATAGGAGCAACAAAACAAAAAAATGTGAAGTCATAAAAGTGGGGGAGTTTGTAGGTAAGGATCCTGTTAGCAAGAGTTTAGTCATTGCATGGCTGATGGTTCAGCAGACACACAGGCTTCTTTACCATGCATTGCATCCCTCTTAGTGTGGATTAAATGACCCACGTTCACCAGGTTGTCTACCCTTTGGTGAAGCTTAAGTCCTCAGTCCTCATTCTGGGCTAGTGTTTATTCTACGCACATTCACTGAGTACATGTTGTGTACTGGAAGCTACTAGTTCCTTGGGAGAGGACATAGACCCTGACCTTTTGGAGCTCTCTGTATAGAGTAAAAAACAGACATGGAGACATGTAATTAAAGTGGGTGATACATTTGATAAAAGAGGTATGTACTAATCCAAACAGAAGCACCGAAATGGAAAGTCCAAGAAGATTTACCAGAAAAGGTGGCATTTGAGCTCCACCTTAAGGATGAGTTAACAAGGCAGAGAAGGAGAGGAAAGCCAGTCTAAGAAGGAGAGCATGATGCATTCTGGGAACTGTAGGACCATAGGGCTTAAGAGCAGGGACCAGCTCCAGCAATTAATATCTGTGTGACCCTGGCAATTTAAGTCTCTGAGCCTAGTTTAAGGAGCCCTGGTGGCATAGATACTAAAGAGGGCAGATGATAACTAAAAGTTCAGCAATTTGAACCCACCAGCTGCTCCATGGGAGAAAGATGTGGCGGTCTACTTGTGTAAAGATTTACAACCTTGGAAACTCTATGGGGCTTTCTACTCTGTCCTATAGGGTCGCTATGAGTCGGAATCAACTCAACGGCAGTGGATTTGGTTTGGTTTTTTGGAGCCTACTTTCCTCATCTGTAAATGGAGCTAATAATAGGGTTTTTACCATGGCTGTTGTGAAGATGACATGAGTTAGTATATGGTAAACCTGTTAGAAAAACAGTGCTCAGTAAGTGTTAGCTTTCTCTTATCATCAGGCTGCAGTATAGGGAATGAGTGAGAAGGCCAGAGGTGTAGGCAGAAGAGAGATGGGAAAGAGCTTTTGGAGACACCAAGCCAAAGAAAAAAAGAAACCAAACCCTTCAAGAAGATTCCAACTCAAAGCGACCCCCATTGGGTTTCCAACGCTGTAAATCTTTACAGAAGGAGCAGCTGGTAGGTTTGAACCATCAACTTTCTGGTTAGCAGCCAAATGCCTTACCCACAGACCACCAGTAGATACCAAGCAGTTGGGCTTTGTAGATTGGACAGCTATTGAAGAATTCAAGGAACTGACTTTCGTGTTACTCTATTAGGTAGAGCTCTCTAGTGGCAGTATATAGAATGCAATGGCAGAGGAAAGACTAGAAGTAGGGGAGACTTGGGGTGAGACAAGAGTGCTACTGCTTTGGTCAGGTCCTCATTTCAAGAGGATGAAAAGAAGAGGATAGATGAGAAGTATTTAGAATATCAAAGGTAGAGGAATTAAGGACTAAATCTATGTGGGAGATGATGAGAAGATGGAGTCAATGATAACTTCCAGGTGTCAGGCTTTCTTTCTCTTCCTTTATTACACTAAGCTTATTCTGGCCTCAGGGTCTTTGCAATTGCTGTTTCCTCTGCAAATCTCAAGTGATTCCTTATCATTATTTGGTTTCAATTTAGATATCACCTCTACAGTTAGCTCCCCTGACCACTGCCTTCCTGGTTATAACCCTGCTAACATTTTCTTCATAGCATTTATCACCATCTTTGATCTTGTTCATTTACTTACTTATTTTTTAATTTTTCATCTCAAAATATAAGCTTCATGAGAACAGAAACCTTTTCTTGTTCACAGATGTATCCCCAACACCTAGAATAGTGCCTGGCACATAGTAGGTACTCAGTACAAATTTGTTGAATGAATGAATGCAAGAATAGAAGTGTAGATGACTTAGGTGACTGGGTGGTCTCTGAAAGATGAGGTTTGTAAACAGACATTACTAGGTAGTGGTACTTTAACTGAGTTTCAAAAAGTAGAAAGAAGATGGAGGTGGGGAAGGATAGACCCTAGCTCTAGACATCTACATACTAGGAGATACTCATGTGATGAGTGTCTGGTATATGGTTGGATATTTGGGACTCAGCATCAAGCGGTGGTTGAAGCCACGAGGTCTGCATATTCACCAAGAGAGTGTCAAGTGTCAAGAGGCCAGAGAGTGATACTCTGGCCGATGCCATTTCATTACCTTCCTGCCAGTACCTGGGCTGACTATCGAACTCTGTGTTAGGACCCTGTTTCTAGAGAGATTCTTCTATCAGCTTATTTGTGAATCAGGGATGAATGGTCAAGGTCTTCTTGTCCCATTCCCTAGCTCTCTGCCCCTTCCCCAGCTGTCTTTACCCTCTCAGAAGTCCCTCCCTGCTATGGGAAGCTAGAGTCCTGTCCTCAGTGCCCTCACCAGAGTGGATCTCAAACCTTTACCAGAGTGACAATGCAGACAACTATGAAGATAGTCATTCTGTGGCAAAGGGCAGGAGCTCAGGAAAAGAAACCACAAGAGGACTCTTGAGAGCTTCTGGCCACTTCCAGGGAGTGGGAGGGCCAGAGGGAAGGTCTGGTAGCCCCATGGCAGTGAGGTGGGCAGTAGCCTGAGTGCTGGAGACAGTGGCTCTGAAGTAAACTCCTTCCTCATTTAGGATGCAGCTGAGGCTGGAGCCAGATCTGGCTATCGTGGCCGCCGCTCCCCTCACACCCCCCACGAACGCTTCGAGGGGCTCACAGTGCTCAAGGCTGCACAGGTGAGAGGTGGCACTTGTGCCCTGGTCTAATGCCCAGAACTGAGTAAGAAGGTATGCAAGAGACTGGGCACCAGGCCCTGGGCTTCCCTGTGGAGTTCTCCTAAGTAGCACCTAAGTCCTATACTCAGGGCTGGGGAAGAGGGTATCCCAAGACCCAAGGTCTGGACTTCTGTTATAGAGGTGATAGAAGGAATAGTTTGGGCTAAGGGAGAGAGCTGGTTGCTGAGAGGCTCCAAACCCATTCTGGAGAGCAGTGAAAGTGGGCAAGGGCTAGGACTGGGACCATTCTTCCATTGCCATCTTCCTGTCCTGTCCTTCCTTTTGCCCCCCTGCAGCTGGCACGGGCTGGGACTGTGGGCAGTCAGGGTGCTAAGCTGCTTCTGGAAGTGAGTGAGCGTGTACGGACCTTGACAGAGGCCTATTTCTCCCCCGAGAGGCCCCTGCATCTGTCCTTCACACACCTTGTCTGCCGCAGCGCCATAGACGGTAACTGCTGGGGACTCTAGGTACCCCTCCCCAGAGTCAGGCCCCTGGGTGGCACTGCACACCCTCAGCCTCCCAACCAGCGTGGGCTTGAGTCCTCATTGTAAGAAGACCCTGACTTCTCTGTTCAAGTGGGGGCCTGGCTTCTCTTGCCAGCTATGACCCCAAGAGCTGCAGGTGGGTGGTGTGAGCCATAGGGGTGGTGGGTGGGCACAGGCACAGAGGCATTCGCCAGGCCCCTTTGTGTCCTAGGAGAGCAAGAGCAGCGCATGGACCTGAGTCATCCAGTGCATGCAGACAACTGTGTCCTGGACCCTGACACCGGAGAGTGCTGGCGGGAGCCCCCAGCCTATACCTATCGAGACTACAGGTGGGCACATCAGGTGTCAGGCAGGTGGGCAGAAAGTGATCCCCCCACAGCAGGCCCAGGCTGGGGTCTCACTGCCTCCTGTCTTCCTCTTTACCCAGTGGAGTCCTCTACCTCAATGATGACTTCCAGGGTGGGAACCTGTTCTTCACAGAGCCCAATGCCCTCACTGTCACGGTATGTGGGTCAGGGGATGTGGGGGTATGACAGGAAGCCAGCTGTGGGTTTCAGGATTCAAAACAGAAGGTTCCAAGAGGCAAATTCAGGGAAATGGCTGGGGATATTTTAACCCTTTCCCGCTGGGCCTCCAGCCCTCCTTGCCACTTCTCCATTCAGGTCCCTGCAGAGAGGTGCCATGGCAGAGGTTGATTAAGCCTCACCAGGAGACCTCTAGTGGCCCCGCCTGTCCCTGCCCCTGTGTTTGCCTCAGCTCCTAAAGGGAGGTAGGGGTGAAGCACAGCCTGCAGGACCTCTCCAGGATCCCCATGTCCTTATTCCAGAGATTTGGGAAACTTGAAACTATTCCTTCCTCCTCGCAGCAAGATGAGCAGAGTGGCTAGCAGCACAGCTACTGGCTCACCTAGACCTGAGTTCAGATTTTAGATCCTAACTTTTCTGAGGTTCAGTTTGCTAAGTAGGGGTGATAATAAGTACTTATTTAAAAGGTTTATTGCAGAAAGTAAGTTAGGTAATGCCCCTAAAAGAATGGGCCAGTGCCTGACAATAATAAACAGTTAATAGATGTTGTTGTTGTTGTTGTTATGTGCCATCGAGTCATCCCTGACTCATAGCGACCCCTCCTTGGGTTTCTGAGGCAGTATCACTACGGAAGTAGGATTGCCCAACCTTCCTTCCGAGGAGTGGCTGGTGGGTTTGAACCGCCAGCCCTCTGGTTAGCAGTCAAGTGCCTTAGCCACAGTTGGGTGGTATTAATTTCTCCTTATTCCTGGATCATAGAAAGTTCCAGGTAGAAACCAGAGGCTAGAATTGGGTAGGTGGAGAGAGACAGTGATTTCTAATTGCCTGCTCCTCTGTTTTACCTAGTTACCTCCTCACCCCCCAAACTAGAAACCAAACCTATTGCCATTGAGTTGATTTCAACTCATAGTGACCCAGCTACTGCTGGTCCCTCCTTGAGATGGAAAAATGTCTCCAAGATCCTATGCCCCTCTGTCCAGGGTCTGGCACTGTACCCATACCATCACTGTTTCACACCCTAGTTCAAAGACTTGAAAATTCAGGGCACCCGGGCAAGGGGCTTGGGGGTGACTGGTAGGAAACCCTCAATAGAGGCCCCTTCTCCCTTTGACTTCCAACTCCCCCAGCCTCCCTCTACCATTTTCACTCCCCAGATTGAGATTGATTTCCCATTTGCCCCAAGCTGGTACCTGAATTAAGGAATGGCAAGTGATGAGCAGGAGAGTAGACCCTCTCTGTTCACTCCTCACCCTCTGTCCCACCCTGGACTTGGGAGCAAGAACCAAGCTCTCTGAGAGGGTCCATCCCTGGGGCTGAACCTGCTCTCACCCCGCAGGCTCAGGTCCGTCCTCGTTGTGGACGCCTCGTGGCCTTCAGCTCCGGTGGAGAGAATCCCCATGGTGTGTGGGCCGTGACACGGGGACGGCGCTGCGCCCTGGCACTGTGGCACACATGGGCACCTGAGCACAGGGACCAGGTGAGGGGTTGCAAGGGGAAGAAGGCATGCAGGTTCCCCTGGGGGTGAATAGTGGACAGACGACTGTTGAAGAGCTCACAGGTGAGGGGCAGGGGCTGACATGCCCCAGGGAGGGTCTTTGGGGCAGGGTGGACTGTAGGAGGTTGGGCCAGACTCTTCCACCACCCCTAGGAGTGGGCAGAGGCCAAGGAGCTGCTGCAGGAGCCAGAGGAGACCGAGGAAGAGAAGGAGGAGGAAATGCCCAGCAGAGACCCTGCCCCAGAGCCCCCCAACCACAGGCTTCAGAGGGTCCAAGACAAGGCCGAGAAGCCACCTCGGGTCCGGGAGGAGCTGTGAAGGGCTGCGCCAGCTCCTTGCTGTGGCTGCTTAATGTGTGAAGGGCCACCTCAATGCCAAGACCAACTGGAAGCCCCTATGACATCAGGAGCAGAACAGTGAGCCATCTTGGGATCCACAGGGTCCATCCCAGCCCAGGCCTCAGAGGACACTGCACAGACTAGCCCAGAGTTCACCAGGCCTGGCCCCAGCTGACCAGTCTTCAGCCCTGGGACAGACAAAGGACAGTGTGCTTCACTGAACAGAAATGGCAAGGGGCAGGGGACTCATTGCTTTAAGTGAGGAAGACAAGAGGGAAGGACAACCCTGCACCCCTCCCAGCCTGTGCAATAAAGAACGTGCAGATCCCTCAGCCAGGGGCCCTGCTGGGTATATCACGGGTTCTGTGGTTGCTGGAGGTGGGGGTGGCTATGGCAGGCCTGGGAGGAGACAGGTGTCTCTAGGCCTCCCAGAGGCGGGGCTACTCAAGCCTGAGATTTGTCAGGGAAATCTCAGCCACCTGCTCCCCTCATGCAAATGCACCCAAGCCCCTGACAGCTGCTCCTTGGGCCTCCAACTCTTAAGCCCTATCTTCCCTCTCTGAGCTTGGCTGAGGCTTGGGGCAGCCAGGCCCCTTTGGCTCCTGCCTTCACAGCCCCAGCAGGGTCTGTGAGTAATGGTGGCAAAAAAGGGGTTCCCCAGACTGGGAGCAGGGGTTGGGGTTGCCTTCCACTTGCAGTCCAAATGCAGAGACAGGCCTGACAACCTTCTCTCTGGATCCCCTGTACCTCTCCCCACCCCACTCCAGGATCAGACCCAAGGGCAGCTGGTTGGGGTTTGTTGAGAAGGAGGATTATCCAGATCAGTCCCTTCTAATCTCAACTCCTGCCTGCACCCTCCCCATAGTCACCATAACCTCTTCCCCTACCGCCCTGAGCTAAAGAATAAAATTTTGGGGTACTGACAATAAAGCCGTCTTAGACACTCATACCCAGGCTCATGGACTAGTTGCTAGGTGGGCCCTGATTGCCAAGATCATCACCTCTGGTGGACCAGCCTGGGGGGGCCACTGGAGCTGTGGCTGCTGCTGCTCCTTTGCATGCCTCCCAAACCCCAACCCTTAATCCTCACAGCTTTGTTCTAATCCCAGGAGACCTGATGCTCTTATCTGTGGCTGCAGAGAGACTGAGCAGGGAGGCACCCCATCAACCATCAACCTCCCTCCCTCTCAGGCTGGTTGTGGGGGACTGCTCTCCTATATAGATCCCCACTCCCACTGTCACCCCTCCCCTGGGTTGTGCCCGGGTCTCTCTGAGCAGCGCACCACGCTCTGTCCTCTCACCCCCCCATCCCTGCCAGCTGATTTCATTTGCCTGACGTTGCTGGCCCTACCCTTCCCTGTCACCACCCTCCCCACCCAGCTCCCCCTCGTCCCAGTCAGGGCCAGGCCAGGCCAGCTCCTCTGGCAACAGAGTGGGGCAGGTGACGTGCAGGCATTGCAGCTAAGGGAGTGAGGAGGTGCCCGGGAACCGGAGCTGGAAACCTGGGAGAGGTCCAGTCAGAGCCCAAGTAAGAGGAAGCTGCCCGGGCTCTGTGCTCTGGGGTTGGGGGGCTGCAGGGAGGACTCAGACTAGATGCATAGGACTCCAAACTTGGAGGGCCTGGGTTGGGAGGGGGCATGGGCATCCCAGCCATTTTCCTATTTCTTGGCATAGGCTTCAGCCCTCGTGAGGAGTCGGGTAGGGTGTGAGGGACAACATGGCCTGCTGGGGGTTCCCTAACACCCACTCCACATTCCTGGCAGGAGCCGAAATAACTCCTTGACCTGTCAGCCATGGGGGAGATGGAGCAACTGCGGCAGGAGGCAGAACAGCTCAAGAAGCAGATTGCAGTAACCCCAGAGCTCTCCCACTGGGGGTCCCTAGAAAACATAGAAGCAGGGACATGAGGGAGTGTGGCCTGGGGGCGGGGGCTGGATTTGGTCTTGAGGGCCACCTTAGAGACCACTGACCTGGAAATGACCAGAGACTTCATGAACTTGGATCTCATTGCATATTCCCTCAAACCCCAGAGCCCCAAGCCCACCTACCCTCAGAGGCCCACACACCCACCCACCACTACCCTGCCCTCACCCTCCCCTGATATCTGCTTCCCCCCTAGGATGCCAGGAAAGCCTGTGCTGATAGTACTCTGGGAGAGGTGAGACCTCCTGTCCCCCTGAGGGCAGGGCATGAGGGGTGGGAATGGGAACTCCCTGGGCAGCAATAACCAGGTACAGCATGTCCTCAGAATGAGAAATGGCACTAATTAATTAATTCAACAAACATTTAGCGAGAGCTCCTCCGGGCCAGGCATTATATTAGATGCTAAAGATACCAAGACTCAGACACTATTCTCATCCACAAAATAAGTGATTCTGCCCCCCTGGCAGGATCATGGGAATAAAGAGAGTGATGAAGACACTTTGTAAATCACAAAGCACTAGAGACACCAATACACTAATATAATATAGTGCTAATAGTTGTCTAATGCAGTATTTCATCAATTCTAAGGTACATATTTTTTTTTGTATTCTGAAATCAAGATGCATCCAACAGTGGATGATGCCTTTTGAGTATAATTGGCAGCGTTTTCTCTTTCTTAGTGATGTGTAAAATAACAGTGCTTCTTAGAGTTGATGGGAATCTTAGATTGGATTGAATAAGTTGATAATAGGAGAGACATTTACTGAACACATACCTTGAGTCAGACACTGGGCTAAATTGCTTAAGTACAAATCTAATTTAATTTTCATGAAGATCCTGTGAGGTAGGCGCTATGATAAGCCTCGTTTGGCAGGTAGGGAAGCAAGTTCAGAGACGTTAAGAAACTTGCCTAAGATCACCAAGCAAGCAAACGGCGAGCCAGGTCTGTGGACTCTAGAACCCCAGCCTAGTCTAAAAACTGGTTAGAGTTTATAGGGCAAAGGACCACAAGTTCCAAGAGGTGCAGTCCAGGGTCATGGTGACATCCTAGGTACCCAGTTAGAGTTGGCCATGCTGCAATAGTGAGCTGGGAAGAGCCCACTGTGTGCATCACTTCCATGTTCAATTACTTGAAACTGGCCAAGTTGGGAGTATTGACATCATGAAAACCACTCACCCAACTCCCCTCATTCTTCTTCTACCCCCTGATGGAGAAGCTGTTGTCCACACTTACTAACACACCACTGACACTGCAGTGTCTGTGTCCCACTCTAGTAGGGCAGCGACTTACTTCTCTAAGGCCTGGCATGGAGAAGAAACTTGTATAGATCAATGGCTGCGACACAGATCTGGGCATGTCCCCTGCTCACCTGATTTCTGATGTCTTTTTCCCTGTAGCTGGTGTCTGGCTTGGAAGTTGTGGGACGAGTCCAGATGCGGACACGGCGGACGCTAAGGGGACACCTGGCCAAGATCTATGCCATGCACTGGGCCACTGACTCCAAGTGAGGCTCAGAGGACCCAGAAGGGGTGGGAAAGTGTGAAAGAGATGCTTGGGTGACACAGGTACCCTCTCCCCCAGGCTGCTGGTAAGTGCCTCACAAGATGGGAAGCTGATCGTGTGGGACACCTACACCACCAATAAGGTACCAGCCCTGCCTCCCTGACCACTGAATCCTTCTGCACTATTCCTACCCTTCTTACCCACACCAACCTGGAAGCTCAGCTCAGGTCTTCCTCTGCCCACACCTGCCTTCCCCACAGGTACACGCCATCCCGCTCCGATCCTCCTGGGTCATGACCTGTGCCTATGCCCCATCAGGGAACTTTGTGGCGTGTGGGGGGCTGGACAACATGTGTTCCATCTACAACCTCAAATCCCGTGAGGGTAACGTCAAGGTCAGCCGGGAGCTCTCTGCTCACACAGGTGAGCAGACCCTCTCTTCCACTCCAGAAAGATCCAGGAAGCCCCAGACCCCTGGTGGATTGTGGCTCTACAGACAGGGCCCTGTCCTTCTCACTAACCCAACCCCCCCCAGGTTATCTCTCCTGCTGCCGCTTCCTGGATGACAACAACATTGTGACCAGCTCTGGGGACACCACATGGTGAGGACTGATGTGGGTGCTGGAGTTTGGGAGGCAGTCCTGTCCTGGTGCAAGCATGGCCTTTCTCTGTGATGTCTTTCCTCCCTCCTGGCAGTGCCCTGTGGGATATTGAGACCGGGCAGCAGAAGACTGTGTTTGTGGGACACACAGGTGACTGCATGAGCCTGGCTGTCTCTCCTGACTTCAAACTGTTCATTTCGGGGGCTTGTGATGCCAGTGCCAAGCTCTGGGACGTGCGGGAGGGGACCTGCCGTCAGACTTTCACAGGCCATGAGTCGGATATCAACGCCATCTGCGTGAGCTCCCCTCCCTGCTCCAACTCCCCAGGACCACCCTGCCCCACACACAGCTTTTTATTTTGAAATAATTTCACCTTACAGAAAAATTTCAAGATTAGTAAGAAGAACCTCCATATACCCTTGACCCACAGTTTACATTCACTAAACTCAAAACTCACTGCCGTTTGAGTCAGATCTGACTCATAGCGATCCCTCCTTGGGTTTCCAAGATATCACTACGGAAGTAGGTTGCCCAAGCTTCCTTCCAAGGAGTGGCTGCTGGGTTTGAACTGCCAGCCTTCCGGTTAACATTCACTAACAGTTAACATTAACCACCTTTGCTTTCTCTCTCTCCATAGAGAAATAGATATACACATAGATGTAGGTACAGATTTTTTTTCCCCTAGGCCTTTTGAGAGTAAGTTGCAGACAACATGCCTTTTTCCTCCTTAAGTACTTCGGTATGCAATTCCTAAAAAAACAAGGCTATTCTCTTAGATAACCACAGTATAATCCTTAAAATCAGGAACTTTAACAATGATACATACTATATTCTAATCTATAGTCTATATTCAGATTTCAACTATATTCAGTTTATATTCAGATTATCTCAATAATGTCATAATAGCAATTTTTCCCTGTCCAGGATCCAATCCAAGAACATATATTGCATTTCCTTGCCATATCTCTTTAGTCAACTTTAATGGAAACACCTCTTTAATTTTCCTTTGTCTTTCATGAAATTCATTTGTACTAAAGAGTACAAATGAATTTGATGTCATACTTCCCTCAGTCTGAGTTTATGTGATATGTCATGACTATCATGATGAAAGTCAGGTTATGCATTTTTACCTGGCCCTGATCCAGCCCCATTATTGAAGTAGTAGGAGGTATGTGACCTGGGTAAGCCACAGAGCTTACTCTCACTTCCCACATGGAAATGATGCCTGTAAACAAAAAACTAAACCCACTGCCATCGAGTCTATTTCAACTCATAGTGACCCTACGTAGAGGAGAGTAGAACTGCTCCATAGGGTTTCCAAGGCTATAAATCTTTACAGAAACAGACTGTTTAATCCTTTGTCTGTGGAGTGGCTGGTGGGTTTGAACTACCGACCTTTTGGTTAGCAGCCAAATACTTTAACCTCTATGCCATCCAGAGCACTGTAGTAAGGAGCAAATGAAGGAGTATAGGGGAAGCCACAGGCATGCAGCTGGCACATGATAAATGTTAGTGGTGAATAATGATACAATGTGGTGGCTCCTTTCCATTTAGTGTAGGGGAAGGGACAGGCAGAAAGGCTGAGGGAAGCAGCTTGCCCTGGAGCCCAGGCAGTGGGCAGGAGAGGCAGTGGCTGCCCAGGTCTGAGCACTGGACCCCCTGCCCCCTCAGTTCTTCCCCAACGGAGAGGCCATCTGCACAGGCTCAGACGACGCCTCTTGCCGCTTGTTTGACCTGCGGGCAGACCAGGAGCTGACCGCCTACTCCCATGAGAGCATCATCTGTGGCATCACATCTGTGGCCTTCTCCCTCAGTGGCCGCCTGCTCTTCGCAGGCTATGACGACTTCAACTGCAATGTCTGGGACTCCATGAAGGGCGAGCGTGTGGGTAAGGGCCAGCCCCACTTACTGCCACCTCAGCTGAAAGGACCCTCCCCTTTCTGTACCCTCACACCAGCTCCCCTTGTTGGGACCTGCTTGTTGTCCCCTAATTACTGGGCAACCCTGAGCCCTAACCCTAAAATCTAGTACCTTTTGGCCCCCAGTCTGCAACCATCTTCTCTCAAAGAAAAGTTGCTCTAAGCAGACTGTCCCCTACCAGTGCAATGGCTGTCCCTGCCAAAGGATTCATTCCCAGCTCTGTGGACCTTGACTGTCAGTCAGTTCTGGGTTTCTTGAGGTTTCAGACAAAGGCACCCTCAGAGAAACATGGAAGAGAACAGAATTAAGGAGCTCTGGAGTAACCTGAGGGCCCTGACTTCAACCTAGGGGCATATCTAGGACCAGCCTGGCCTAAAATTGAATCAGGTAGTATGGCTGTGTCTCTTAGGAGAGGCCGGGTGGTGAATGAAAATAACACAGGCCAGAGTCAGCATCCAAATCATAATTCATTTACTTCCTGAGTGTCCTGAGGTGAATTTCTTGGCTGCAATTTCTTCATTTGGAAACAAGGGACAGGACTAAAGGGTTGCCTTCCCTGCTTTCCAACACCCATCAAGGAATGGGATACCACCCTGGCCCCTTGGCTTTTCTCATAGCCCTCTGATACTTCCAACTTTTTCCTGTCCCATCTGGCCACTGGCCCCTGCCCCCATCTCATCCCAGGATCTTGAGAGATTGGCCTCAAGTAAAATCCCATTTCTTAAGGTAATCCTCTTCAGTCTTCTCCAAGGGCTGAAGAGCCCATTGCCCAGCCTACCAACCTAGGATCCCTGTACACTCACACACACACACACACACACACACCACACTCCCTTCCACAACAGTGCAGGAAGGCAGGCTGACACCTTTCCCTCTTCCTCAGGCATTCTCTCTGGCCATGACAACAGGGTCAGCTGCCTGGGGATCACAGCTGATGGAATGGCTATGGCCACTGGTTCCTGGGACAGCTTCCTCAAGATTTGGAACTGAGGAGGTTAGAGGAAAGAAGTGGAAGGCCATGAAGACACTCAGCCGTAACCCTCCCTTGGGGTTTTCTTTCATATCCCAGCTATCATTCCCATCAAGCTTTCTCTCTTGAGGGCAGTGGGGAGCGTGGGGAGTGTGCCTTTGGGAGGCAGCATCAGGGACAGAGAGGCATCTCCTCCCCTAGCCTCCCTTCCCCATGGCCCGACAGCCTCTCCCTTACTAAGCAAGGACATCTGACCCTTCTCCAGCTCTTTGTAGGCCTAACAGGCTTCCAGTTGAGGCCCCAGGCCCTAGAATTCCTCCCCCACAGCCACTACCTATGCTTGGACTTAGGTGGTACTACAGGTTGCTCAGCCCTGTGACTATAGCTCTGGTACCACTAGGGGCCTGGTCTCCTTCTTCATGCTTTCTTTTTCTTCTTCTAAAGCACTTGCAATAAAGTGTAGCACCATGGTAGGTCTTTAATGTTTAGCTTCTATTCTCAAAACACCTGAATCCCATTTCCTCCTCTTCACCCTCCTGGTTCTTCACTTTTAATGGGAGATAGCCCCTCTCCTTCTCACCAAAGAACTCAGGGGTCTGAGGCTGAAGTTTCCCTTTTCCACAGAGACTAGAGATTTGGGACTGGAACGCTATGGGGCCCCAATGCAATTCTGGACTCCCCTAGAGACAAACTGACTTTTGAAATACCTAGAGCAATCAGGGTTAGAGAGACCTGGAAGTTACCAGAATATAGGTAAGTGATAGCTAAAGCTATATGAGTGAACATCTGGTGAGAACAAAAAGAAAGGGCCAAAGATAGAACCCTGGGAGAACACCAGGATTTAAAAGAGGAAATGCAAGAGACGCTTACAGTTAACAGGGGAGGAGAGGGACACTCAGTTCAGGGAACAAAAGATCTCCAGGCTGCCATTCTACATACAGAAGACAGGGCACAAGCTTTAGGTATAACATTTAAAAACATTTAAAAATCACTTCCTTTAATATACAAGAAACATGAAAGAGACAAAGACCAATCAAGCTCTCAGTCTCAGAGTTGAGGGGGAGTCAAAGAAAACAAGCCTTTCCTCAGTACCCTAGGGAGAAAATAGGTGAGAGGACACAGGACATCACTAGGCCCCGGGTGATTCCAGTGCTGGGGCCAAATAGGACCTAGTTCTCTACCAAGGGAAAGTGCTGATTTTCCTTGTCATGGCCCTGGCCTTGCTCCCATGGTCGTCCTCCAGTTTTCAGAAGTTGTCCAGTTCCCAGGTTGGCCCCTTCTTTTAGTTTCCTAACATTTTCACTCAGGGGAGAAGGCCGCTTACCCTGAAAAAGGCAGTGTATGAGTGGGAAGATCCAGGTAAAAGCATCTCCCACCCTCTGGGTTGGATTCCCTAGTCGTCATTCTCACCCTCTCTCCCTTTACCTGGCGTGGTGTCAGGGTTCCAGGGGAATTGTCATCCTGCAGGATGGTGAGGGGGGATCTCCCTAGTACCTTGCTATTTGGTTTCCGTCTATTACACTTAGAACCTAGGATGAGAAAGGAGTTAAAGGCAGGACCCAAATTAGAGGCTTCCAGTTTATTCCTCTTGCACACATCCTTAGACATTAGCCCTACTTTCTCTTCTCTACACCTTGCCCTTAGATTCTTTACCTGAAGATCGGGGAGTCTCAGGGTCTCTCAAGGGCCTGTCTGAGCCCTGGCTGGCCACAGGGGTTTCTGTGCGCTGTCCTGTTTCCTCCATAGAAAACACCTGTTTGGAGGGGAGCTCAGTTTGGCTCAGAGGTGGCATCTGGTCTTCAAGGGATAATTGGGTACCCAGAGGCAAGTTCAATTCAGAAGATGAAGGTGTCTCCAGAGGCAGAACAGGCTCTGGGGAAAGATTTGATTTGGGGGCTTCACTGTCAAATACTTCACTCAGATGCTTCACCAGTGGGCTTGGAGGTTCTAAAGGAGAGAAACAAAGTGGGACCATGATCCACTGATACAATCATTCAGCAAGGGAGTAAAGATACAGAAGCCTTGGAGCATACCTGGTGGGGAGGGAGTAGGAAGAGCAAATTCAAGGTGAGAGGGAGCAAAATGTTGAGAAAAGAGTGAGGTGAGTCCAAAGCAGGAGAATGGAGTCTCCTTTGAGAAGGAGTCTTGAGAGACCCACTCCCTGGACCCAACACCTACCAGTTGTGCTGGTCTTCATAGGTGTCCGTGCAATGCCAAGGGTAGGAGAGCGGGGATCAGAGTCCTGGGTCTGATTAGGACCTTCTAGCTGTTTCCCTGAAGGTAGGCTTGGCTGTGGAGAGCTCTCCACCTGTCAGAACCACAGGCTAGAACAAGTTTTGGTAATGACTCTCTCCTCTCCCTAGGCTCAGGCCGATATTCCAAGCAGGAATAACCAAAGTCCTCAGACTTTCAGCCTACCCCACACAGACTAAGAATGTGGAAAATAAAGCCTCAAAGTAGGAATAGTAGAGAGCAGGAGGGCTCTCTCAGGGCCAAACGAAGCCCAAGAATTCCATTTCCCTGTTTCCCTACCCCCAGCCCAGAGTACCTGGATGGGAGTGCGCAAGATGCCGGCACTAGGTGAACGAGGGTCCGCCACTCTGGCCATATGTTTGTTGTGTGGCGGAGGCCGCGCTGGAGTGACTGGGACGCTCTTGGCCAAGCCCATCTCTACCAGAAAAAGTAGGGTGGGGCAGGGCCCTGCCCGGGGCGAGGAAGGGATGCCTGCGAGAAGCGACTCAGGTCTCAGCCCTCACCGCGACCATTCCACCTTTGACCCCAGATCACCCGATCTTCCCAGTTTCCATCTAAGAAATCTCCCGGCCGCTGTACCAAAGTTCTCTGAGGAGACAGCGGACAAGGAGATACATCTTGGGCCTCCCAGGACCTCTGATTTATTCAAATCACTTACCAGACCCCAATGGCACCTTCGGGTCCACAGGAGCTCGAGCCTCAACTCCTGACCTGAGTTTCAAACCTCCCGCCACGCCCCCTACCTTGAGCCTATTGGTCGAGCTGACTTCGGCTCCCATAGGCCTCTCGGTGAAGGTGGGGATTGGGCTGGGAGGACGTCTATCAGGGACGCCCTGGGGCCATTGGACAGAGACTTGCTTGCCCAGGGTGACGCCTCTTTGATAACGGGATTTCTGTACGACAGTGCGAGCGGTTCATCGTTGAGACTTTTGAGTTTCAAAAACAAATGATATTGTTAACAACAACAACAACAACAATCATGAACTATTACTTTATTATGTACAAAACCATCTGGAAGTGGAGTTATGGTTTCTTTTGAGGCAAGAAGGATTTTGTTGTTGCTGTTATGTGCAGTCGAGTCGGCCCGACTCATAGCGACCCCTCCTTGGGTTTCCGAGGCAGTATCACTACGGAAGTAGGATTGCCCAACCTTCCTTCCGAGGAGTGGCTGGTGGGTTTGAACCGCCAGCCGTCTGGTTAGCAGGCAAGTGTCTTAGCCACTATGCTACCAGAGCTCCACCTCATTGGGCAACCCTTTTTCAAATACTAAGAAGACAAGTGCCCTAATATTTTCTGATTGGATCAGTCCCCAGAAAAGTTTCTGGGATTGACTGATTTAAACATCTGTCAGCTTCCGCTCTTCAATAGAAGGTACGCGAAAGGACTATAGGGGTCTCAGAGTCTGAGCAGCTAAAACTCGGGGGCTCGCCTCGCTGCTCTACGTGCGCACATGCCTCAGAGGAATGGAATTGGTTCTTTCGACTATCAATTGTGTTAGAAGCGTTTCTCATTGGCTTTAGTCAAGAGTAGAACAGAGGGAGGAGCAGTAGTAGACGGGCTCCTCCCAACTGCCACTCTCGCGCCTCTTCCCTTTAGCGCATGCACCTAACGAGTAGTACTCATTGGACGAGAAGAGTAGGGGGTGGGGGACTAGGAACGGTGGGAGCAGCTGTGTGGAAGAGCTGCTGCCGGTGTCATGGCGGAGCTGAGTGAGGAGGCGCTGCTGTCAGTATTACCGACGATCCGGGTCCCTAAGGCTGGAGACCGGGTCCACAAAGACGAGTGCGCCTTCTCCTTCGACACACCGGTAAGCCCATTCCCCACGCCTGCAGCGAGCACGACTTCCTTCCATTGCCCTGGTCATTCTGCCGGGGCCTGCAAGTCTTGAGCTACCGCCTCCCTGCGGTGCACCATGGAACTTGAAGTTTCCCACGCTCCTCGCTGCCGTTGCTTTTTAATCAACTGGGGTTGTGGTGCGACTACCTCTCCCGGAAGCTATCGCGCTCGCCAAACCCGCTCCCTGCCTCGTAGAGTACTGTGGGAATTGTAGTCGCTCACTCCTCTCTTTGCCATTCTAAGCTAGAGGCCCAACCCGACTGTGGGACTACATTATCCGTGGAGCCCTGCGAAAGCCTGGGAGTTGGCCGTGCCTGTCGCGCATGGCTCTCCGGGTTTTGTAGTCTCATGTGGGAGGGATGGGGGGCGACCCCCCAATGCTCTGGACCTTGGTTGCTGAGGTTGGGGGTAGTGTTGACTGCGGTTCCTAGGCGCCTGGTAGTCTGGAAGGGGCTTTGAAGCAGAACAGTTCTGAGGAAGGCCGAGTTAGGGAGCCTCCACCCGTGGTTAATATGGACAGGGGGCGGGAAGGTGGGCCATTGGTGGGAATGCAGCGGGGGGGGGGAGGAAAAGCTCTCGTCGTTTCTTCTTTGAGGTGAACTGTGACCGCAGCCCCCTCCTTTTTTCCCGCCCATCACAGAGAAAAGAGTGAATCTCATTTAAGGTATTCCCAGAGATGGGTTCTTTTTTGGTGTATACTAAAGACTCTTACCTATTCTTGGCTCCGTTTCTTGACTAATTAGACAGAACCGCCACCCACACAGTGCTTCACGTTTTGCAGACTCCACCCGGTGCCTCCCTGCAGTTTTGCTTTCCTATGCTACCCTCAAGCAGAAACAGGCCTCTAGCCAGGCCAGAGCCTGAATAGAGAGGGCAGCAGTCTGGCTGGGATCCGCCCCCTCACTACCCCTCCCCTCAAGCCACTGCTGGGCCCTGCCCAGGGTGTTCAGCCAGACCATGGCCGGAAAACTGCAAGTCAGAGTGGAAAGCCTTCATTAATGCATCACCAGTGCTGAGTATAGCAACACCATCTAAGGCCCAGTTCATGATCACCACTGTGATTTGTGATTTGCTTGGCTTTGATAAGGACCTCAGACAATGTACTGCTTCTCTGAAGTCTGGCTTTGGCAAAGGTAAAAGGACTTCTCAAAGCACAACTCCAGGGCTCCCAGTCCTTGGTGAAATCAGCATCTTTTAGTTCCAACAGAGGAATTTAATCACTGCAGAGCTCCCACATTCCTCCCAGTTTATCAAATACATGGATTAGTAAAGCACCATTTTCCTCAGGAGGGAAAGGTTTTTCTTCATTCCTAGCATATGGTAAAGGTCTCTGGGTCCCTCCGTCTGTTCCCTGCTGTCTCTCTCCTTAGTAACTGCTTTAAACAGTCCAAAAGAAGTTTTTGTAATCTTCTGACTTTTTCCTTCTCTCACCCCAAGTCAGGAAGTCTTCAATGTGACCTAGCTGCTTTACTAATCAGCTTTTGGCATATTTGATTATCTTCAAATTGGGTTCATGGTGAAAGGAACTTAGGTGACTGCATTGGTGGTGGGAAATAGTCTATTTGTTCGTGAACATAGTTGTCTACACTGTTCCAGGGTATGGTACAGAGCAATCTGTGGGACCAAGAACTACCTTAGTCAGTGTCCTATTTTTAACATCACAGCAGAGAATTTTTCAAGGCCATTGAAGTTTTTATTTCAGAAAAAAGATGCCTCTTGTTCAAAGCCTTGGATCTGAGGGAAGACTGTTACTGTCTCCAATTTCCTCCTCCACCTTCTCCATTGCTCTGTTTACAAAGGCTCTTGTGAACTTTTTTAGCCTTTGGGGAAGCCCATCCTCCCCCCTAAGCTGTGATTCAGGGTGGACGCTCATCTTTCCCTGTATTCTTCCTGGGTTTTGTATGTTCTAGCCATCTCAGCAAGTGTTGCTAGGTTGTTCTAGGAAGGGCATGGCTTTTAGGTAGGAGGTAATGGCACGTCAATGGAAATACAGTTATTAGAGGGAATGGGAGGGAGCAGGATGGTGACTGGGGAATGCTGGGCTTGATGTCCTGGGCTTGATGTCCCTGCCAGACTGGGTCCAGGTTTAGCTGTGAACCTCAAACAAGGCATTGTTCCCTTGGAGCCAGGCTTCAACAGGAGAGGAAGGAGAAGACTCACAGGGTGGATCAGTTAGACCACCTAGTAGAATGTGGTAAAGAAAAGGTCTAGACTTACTGGGAGCTCAGGGGTTAGGTGTCCCATTCAGTCATGCTGCATTATTCTGTCCCTTAGGATCATGGAGAACGGGTAGTACTTGTCTTAGGTGTCCCTATTTGTGTCTGGTAACTGACATGCAGATCTTTTCTCTACCAAGAAAGAGCTCTTTTTCCTCTGAATGTGATCCTCGCACTGGAAGTCCACATACATCATCCCTATTTACTTTTTGGATTTCTTGGCCCTAGGAAAGGGGCGGGAAGTGAGTTCTCTGCCATCAAGTGGAGGGATCCAGTGCCCAGAGGAGCAAAGGGGAAGGTGACGTTGACTAATAGGTGTTACTCGGCCTCTTGGTGTCCTTGTTGGTTCTTATCAAAGTCATAGGAGGAAATGGAGAAGAATCTTACCCAGGTCCCAAAGGGCTAAATAACTTGCCAAGGGCCATCAGTGCAAGAGAACAGAACTTTTTTTCCAGGTTTCTGACCCCATGTCTTTGGTTTCCCTACCTGACCAGACTTCATCTTCCTGTGTTTCTTCCCCTGCCTCTTGCCCTGCAGGAGTCTGAAGGCGGCCTCTACATTTGCATGAACACATTCCTGGGCTTTGGGAAACAGTATGTGGAGAGACACTACAACAAGACGGGCCAGCGAGTCTACCTGCACCTCCGACGGACCCGGCGCCCGGTAGGGTCAGGGGCAAGGGCAAGGGCTGAGACTAGAACAGACATACTCCACAGGGTACCCATTTTGAATCTCTGTTCCATTCTGATCTGTTGGCCTCATTTTCCCACTTTTACCTACTTTTGTTGGTGTCATTAAAACTCAGCTCAGATGGAAATGTTGGAAATGAACAAGGGTGATGGTTGAACAACGTGATGAACATAATTAATGTCACTGAACTATGCATGTGAAAAACGTTGAAATGGCAGATGTTTTGTTACATATATATTTACCACACACACACACAGACTCAGCTTAGATATTTTTTAGCATCATCTTCTTCCCAGATTAATGCACTCCATCTGTCCTCCTGACTTTTCCCCTCCCTGGTACCTGGTGCCCATTGCTGATCCTACTCTTCCTGCCTCCTTGCAGAAAGAGGAGGACACCACGACAGGCACTGGAGACCCCCCACGTAAGAAGCCCACCCGGCTGGCTATTGGTGAGCACCGCTGACATGTTATTGTTCTCCCTGAGTTCGTCTTCCCTCCTCTCAGAGGCACCAGGAGAAACCTCCAAAATGGAACTGATGTGTGGTCCTAGAGTTCTGGAGGGGACAAAGTAAGGCACTGTTTCAGAGAAGTGGCATTTACCTGTGGTAGTTACCCTGCTCTTCCTCTTCCTCCCTGTCCCACCAGGTGTGGAAGGTGGTTTTGACCTCACT